TATCATTACCTCTTACATTTGCCATTGTTAGCTTTTGAAGAAGTGTTATAAAGATACGTTAGTTTTGGCTCACTTTAATTCATTTTACTTCCTGATCATTAATGCAATAATAAGATTTTGTATATTAATATGAATATTCTTGTGTTTGCATATTTCTCCTAATTTATTACCGTTTGAAATACATCGAAACTGGAGGACCAGAATTCGTTGAATTTGCTTGTTTAGATCAGGTTTAACAATGGGTATCTGGAAACGTGTGGATTTAACTACGGTTGCACTGATCAGTAAAGCTTTGTCAGAAAACGTAGACAACAGGTTCATGAAAAAAATTGGCAAGAGGCTGTGATTGTGCTCCTTCAATCATTTGCTGCAGCTCAAGACTACCAGTGCATATTAAGTAATTTGTTATTAACCGATCAAGACAAGGAGTACTCATAGAATATGTCTGATCGGCAGGATATGCCCGCTCCACCATTAAACCTGTTTTCACCTCTGATGCTTCAGAAGTGTTTTTTCCTCCTTTTTCATATTACTTTATCGACTTTTGATATTGAATACTATTTTTTATTTTGACTTAATGGACTTGAAGTATTTGTCGGAAAGATGCGAATGTTTTGTCATTTAAAGTGTGCATGTAAGGTATATACAGTCATTCCCGTATAATTAATACAATTGAAAAAACGCTATGTTGCCAATGCATTTTTAGGCTATGATTACTGATATTCAAATTATTCCTTGACCCTTTATGTTAACATATTTTGTCACACAAAAAAACAGCTGGTATATTTGTTGATACTTTTTCTCCGAGCATTTACACAAAAGGAAGCCAGGAATTGTGTAAAAGGCGATGTCGCCATAGTATACATTGCAGTTTGAATGTGCATTACCTGGTCGCATTTTGTTCTAAACAAACAAAAATTGTTTTAATTAATGAAGAAACATGCCAAAATCTAATAAATGAAACTTTCATTGATAAATGAATAACGATTTTAAACAAATCTTTGACCATCTCTGTCGCCAAATTTCACCTAACCTACCGTAACATATGTATTGTTTGAATATTTTTTAAGATAATACAATATATCGTAAGTACAGCTAAAACTGTGTTTTGTGTCTAATATATATTAAAACTTTTCCACAGAATCTTTTTTAGGCAAATCAATAAAACCGTGTTCAAAATTTTTAAAAATATGGATTTTTTATAATGTCGCAGATAAGAACCTAACCTACGTGACGGTGATTGTGAAGAAACAGAGGCTACATGTATGTGAAGTACTATTTCAATGCAGTTGATTGACACCAATGGGTATGTCCAGTTAACAAAAAACAAATGTAAGGAAAGCTAAACAACAATTCAGAAATAAAGAAATTATTAATGGTTCTAACCTCCGTAACCTCTAACCTACATAACGGAAAATCAACAAAATCTGACGTGTGCATCATTTCAGGTGTTTAAATCTACCAGATAATGCCATAGGCACTTGGGGTATGGACCCCCCCCCCCCTTTCCATTTTTTTTCTTTTTAAATCTGGGCATTACCTTTTTCCTATTTTTTATTCTAATATGCACTATATGTTATCAAAAATTAACTCTTTTGTCTCTACAAGCTGTTTTTAAAAATGCAGTTTTTCACTGATACATATAAAGAGAGAAGGCTTGCAAAATCAAATAAATCCCTCGCTCAAACTTCGCTCGATTATTTATCTAAATCAATATAAAACATGGGATATGCATACATCAATAAATTTGTTATACATTCCTCTTCCTTTTCATATTTCCAGTTAATTTTTATATGCCCCCGATTTGTAAATATTTCGATGAAATTAGGGTAAATTTTGTTTATGTGCATCAACCGGGACGGAAGTATATTTTCGGGCGTCATCTAAATGTGTAATGTTATTCGGAACATTAAATTCGAGAGGGATTAAATTGAATTTTCTCTTCATGTAACATGTAAAGGTAATATATATAACTAGAAAGCTGTAACTAGTAGATTCTGATAGATACAGATTCACTTTTAACACACGATATAATCAACCAAATGTCATAATATTGTTATTACAAATCCTGGATTTTTTGTAATGCAGAACATTTGTAAAATAGAGTTATCGTTCTTTGGTACTTCCGTCCCGGTTGATGCATTTACCCTAGATGCGGGTGATTTCATCGAAATATTTACAAATCGGGGGCATATAAAAATTAACTGGAAATATGAAAAGGAAGAGGAATGTATAACAAATTTAAATGTATGCATATCTCATGTTTTATATTGATTTAGATAAATAATCGAGCGAAGTTTGAGCGAGGGGAGGCGGATGACTAGAAAAGAGTTGCAAGCCTTCTCTCTTTATATGTATCAGTGAAAAACGGCATTTTTAAAAACAACTTGTAGAGACGAAAGAGTTGCATTTTTGATAACATATAGTGCATATTAGAATAGAAAAATAGGTAAAAGGTGAATCGAACCCAGATTTAAAAAGAAAAAAAAATGGAAAGGGGGGGTGGGTGGGGTCCATACCCCAAGTGCCTATGGATAATGCTGGAAGTTTACTCTTTAAGTTGACAACAAATTGGAATATAAAAATCATGTTGTGTTTAAAGCATAAAATAAAAGTATTTTTGAAAAATATTATGGGAAAAATGTCCTTAACTTAGATGTTTTTTGCATATAACAAATAAAAATGATAGTGTTTTTTTTTTCGTTTTGTAAATGTCTAATATCCCGTAATGTGTATGGGCACAAAAAAAGGTCAACCTTATGTGAACTATAAGCGGTGTACAGGAAAATTATACTCGTTTATACGTAAAACCAGCGATGTTACTGAGGTTGGGTTTTTCTGCAAAAAAATGGATTTTTGTGTTTTTAAGTGAATTTTTCATATACTACGATATATTGAATAAGTTTTAATGAAAAATTATGTTGATGTGTGACAGTCACTTCACAATGATTCAATAAATCATTTCATTATTACAAGTTTCAGTAAATTATTTCGTAACGGAGGTTACAATTATTTGTTGTTTTTTTTTAATCTAAATGTATTTGCCTAAAAAACGTTAATACAAATTTTTTTTATCCTTTTTTTACAAATAAATATTGTTTTCTAACTGTTTTTTATTTAAATTCACAATTAGGTAAACGCATTCACACCGATTGTTCGAAACGAAGGTTGTATATTTTGTAACGGAGGTTATAGAAGTTTAAATCTTCACTTTCACATTTACAGTTAAAAAGACAATAATATATTAATAAATATTTGATTAAGTTGATTGACCCTTAGTATGCTGAGCGACATTAGTTGGCAAAGCCAATAGGTAGTCTACAAATCGGTTTACTCTTTTTGTAAATATGTAGAATAACCTCCGTAACGAAACACACTTTTTGGTAAATTGCTCTAAAAAGAGGGAAAAACTGTTTAGTACTTCTCTTAATTTTGTAAAAACATTCTTTTAAAAGTATGTTTGACACGTTTTACTAAGTATATTTATCTCTTAATCTTCAAAACGAGTTTGTGTAACCTCCGCTACATTTTTAGAGCAATTTGTATGTCAACTTTTCTTTTAAAAAAGTGGTCAATTTAAATTATAATCAGATAAGGTCTTTAATTTTCAAGATGTATCCTTTTATTTTTCAAATCAAGTGGTGCAAGTAATGTAATAATATGTTTGCTTGGCAATATTCCTACTGGAAAGTAGTGTTTATTTTATTGTCCAAAAATTCCGTTTTCTGGATTTACACATGTTTAGTTAATATTTTTTTATGTTTGCAGTTCAGAATTTCTTCTGTCATAATATAGTAATATATTGATAAACCTTCGAAGTTCAATAAAAATTAAAACATGAACAAAGACTTTAAAAAACTTTACAGCTGCTTTCTGAGTTATAACCTCCGTTACGGAGTTCTTGCATGTGGTGATTTGGAATAGCCATAAAAACTAAACGAAGAAAGATTAACGTGTAAAATTTCATTTTATTAATGAAGGATGTTTACTTTATCGATCAAACACAAAATTACATCATTGCTTCGTTTTTCAATACTTTGGACTTGGTAAATGTATGAATTATATGGGAATGACTGATAGTGGGCCTCCGTTCCATGTGTTTGTAAACCAAAAATGTACATTTTATTGCAAACTTTAAGGATAATCATATGTATTGAAAAACCTTATCAAAGTATGAAAATGATTATTGTTTTTGTTCTTTTTTGTGTGTATGCTTTTTCATTGGCAAATATTTTCAGTGTTTGTGAGATTTTTGTAAATTGTAGAAATTTTACATTAAAAAAAGAAATATATATCCTCTTCTTATATTTGTCGCACTATAGGCACTGCGTCCACCTTATCCACAAATCTTCTTTCGGAATATACTAACTTATTACTAAAAGTGTAATATAAACATTTAAACAAATATACCAAGCCAGATTAATTCTTAAAATTATTATTATAATAGTAAAATTATGAAATTCAGCCTATACGGTTTTTCTGTCTTAAAACATTTAGTAAGTTCCCCGATGAGAAAAGTGTATAAAACTTTTGAGCGAAGTACGTTTTGATTTTAAGGATATACGTACCTTACCTACTGGCCTTAAAAATGTTTTTAACTATTTATAGCACTAACTGCGCTAAATGTGACACAGGTGCCTGAGTTACCCGGATATCTAAAATGGCGTAAATATGAGGACGCAACGAAAGATAAAGGGAAAATGCACTAAAGTCTACTTGTTTTACTTTGAGAAAAACGGATGAGCATATAATTTGATTTTTTTCTGAGGTAAATATAACATTTTGCATAATCAAGATTAACGAATGATAAATTGCCTATCAACCCATAACATTCTTACAATAGTCAATACACAAATGTTTTGTTTACTTTCGTTTTGAATGCGATTGTATTATTGCTTTCTGCAATTTTAATGTTCTTTTCAAATATTCAAAATCATCTGTTGAAGCATTAATTTTTAATAAAAAGCAAATAAAGTGTACATGATTAATAGTTAACAGCGATGGAAAACTCTGTGGAATCATGTCCCCGGAACATTACGGCGGTCACAGAGTCCTCCACCAGGCTGGGTTGTGGACAGGATCGGTATGGAAATGATCAATACATCTGTGTCCCTAACTTTGACAAAACAGGACTCATAGAACTCTGTTACAATGGCATCATGGGGATAATAGAAAGGGGTTAGTGAGCTTAAAAACTTTTCATCTTATTTTACTTTTTTTTTTATTAAGATTTTGATAAAATTAAATATTATTTCAAATTTAGCCTAGTAAGACGCTTTATTAAACAAGTAAAATGAGAGAGAGGAGGGGGAGGTGCTCCTGCATTAATCAAACAGTTATATAAAGTATAATTATAAATTGATAATTCATTCTTACGCTCTGCCTAGCTTCTACACATGATGATTTTATTTCAATAATTAGATGTATAAATAACTGATATCGATACAGGCAATTGTTTGAGGACTACAGGAGGACAACTGTATCGTACCGGCTGTATGGGGTTTACATCAGGCTGTCCAGACATAGAATACAGAAGCAACAAGATATAATTATGTGAGACTCTTGTTAACTACAAATATCTTATTGAATATATTAATAAACGTGTGTCAATGTTGAATGATAATGCTATTGCTTTTCTTGTGTTTTAAGATCCCGCTTGCCAGAACATCAACACACGAGACAGGTGTTATTTTGCTGAACCCTCGTGTCCAAATACGTAAGTAAAGGTCTGATGAAAGAAGGTACACATAGTGATATACTGTTAATATCGTTCAAATATCGTATGAAATGGTCATATTTTCCAAAACGCAAATCAAAATAAGGGTCGTTCCTGACCAAATAGGGAAATCTCTATAAAGAATAATCTAAACAAATCGACTTCAACAAAAGGGGTAGGCATTAATTGCAAATTTTAATAATTAAAATTAACTAAAAAGAAAATAATGAATATATAACTTGTATGCCCTAATTTCAAAGTGATATTATTCAGAAACTAATCTTTATTCCATAAGAAAACATGATATATGCATCATATTATCATAACTAAAATTAAGTGATAGGTTACATAATGATTTTGTTCTTAAAAGGGTCAAAATTTGTAGACAAGTCTTGGAATCGAGGCTTGTAGATAATGACTTATTTCCAAATTATTCTAAATACCCTAATGGCTTGAAATATACATGTAGGTTTATTTAACAACTTTAGGGTCAATGTAAGTCCACACGTTTTTCAATTATATGTTTTGTATCTCTTGTTAATATATCATTACCTTATTAATATTTTTCATTTTTTTAAATTTCTGTATTGTTTTCAAAATGTTTTTAAATATAAATACACCAAACATTGTGTTATATACCATTTAAAAGATTACCTAAAAGGGTTATATACGAAATATGACCCATGGTATCTTGGTAAAATGCCTGGTAAGGTCCTCTTATATTTTGTAAGAAAACCTGTTTAAGTTGTTTATATTTTCATTCATACAGCACAGAGAACATAAATACTACAGAATATCAACTAGGGTTATCGACAATTCAAAGCATTTACAACACAACGGCTATCAACTTATCTGAAGGCACCTTTCCACAAGAGTCATCCGACTCTACAGGGGTTATCATTGGAAGTGTGGTTGCTGTTGTGTTTATCATCATTTTGGTATTGGCTGTTGTCCTCTGGAAACGGAATCAGAAGAACAAAAAACAAAGACATATTCCACGTATGTTTGAAATTCATTAAATTTTAAGCTTGTTAATGAATAAATTAGTAAAGTTATTTGTTACTTGTAAAGCGATCAGCTAAACACGTACATTTAAAACCATATATAAATTCTAATCCTATCCAAATGATATCTGGCGATAACAACAAGTTACTCAAGCGTTTATAGTGTTCGCCACATTGAGTATTGAGTATGTTTAAGCTTTGAAACGCCAATAAAAGGTATTTGATAAACAATACTGAATCTGATATGAACCGGTAGCACTTTTCACAATGCGTAATAACAATGAATTTGTAGCTCTTATGAGGAACAGTCTATCAGATGAAATACATTGCTTACTTAAAGGCTTAAATTCAAAATCCTTCTTTTCTGAAAAATATTAAATAATTCAGGATATTTTGAGATCAACAAACAGCAGCAAGAGGAAAAAATAACTGGAGCAGATTGTAAACGTCCGTTTTTGTCACTCGCAGACACCACTGATGGTAATGATTTTATAGAGAAATCTAACAACTGATTTAATGTGTTTAATTAAAAATCATTTAAAATATGAACTAATAGACATTGTCAATTGAAATATGATTTCATTGCAGAGGGCAAACGGTCAACCTCTCAATTTTTTTTGAGAAAAAAATGAGAAAAAATAATTCATATATAATCGTAGATACAAAAGATCTGCAACAAACATTTGACAAGCTTGAAGAAGTATATGAAGTCAGAGATACCGGTGTTTATAGTGAAATTGAGGAGCGTGTACAAGACTTTACATATCTTGTAACCAATACAAAGTTAGAAAAGAGAGACACAGGTATTTTTGATATTTGTCTTCTTAATGGACATTACTATATATCATCATATTAGAAATTCTTAAAATATAGGAACATATTTTTTCTTCAATGCTCAATCTACGTAAAAATAAGAATAAAACTTATTTATTCTGTTTTACTTTCAATAAATGAAATTGAAATGTTCTGTTTTTGACTGATTCTGACTGATAATAACCCTTTTGCGAAATTGGAAAAAAATTGCCCCCCCCCCCTCTAGATCACCTAAATGTATTTTATGATTTGGATTTGACGAAGGGGGGGGGGGGGGGTAAAAGTTCCTCTCCAGATTTGCTAGATACATGAAATGAAGCTATGGTGACATGAAATATAGATTCATATGATATAATTTTTAAGCGGTTAGCTTCGCTAGCCGCTATATGGCATGTGTCGGCAACCGGAAACCTCCATAAGGCGCTACCTATCGACAACAGAAACTTCAACAAAGCCTCTACCAATGATTTGTTTCTAACACATATAACATATGATAAATAAAATCAAGACTATCAAAACAACATTATCTTTCGGTTTTTAATTTTTATCTGATTTTGTTTGTCAATGAAATAAATTTATTGTTGTATTTTAAAATTTTATGTATAGGAGCATTTGGTGTCGAGATTAAATTTCCGTGACGTCAGCTGATGGCGATCGGGCCCTGTGACGAAATTTGAAGTCAGCATTAAGTTTAGCTGATAACATTAACGCGTTGGATTTAAACTTAAGGAAGAAATATGTAGCGAGAAATATCATATTGGAACCCAATGCTACACGAAACCAGTAGGCATATCCGATTTATGTGTTAAATTGAAGCCTGAATTGAACAGGGGGTCAAAATGGCGTTGCACACCTTGTGTATCTAAACTGTACATTGAGGGGTAGAATGTTTCGATATTTGGCTAATTTAGAGACTTACTGATAAAAATTCAGTTGCCTGTGATTAATTATAAGGCACCCCTCATGAACAATAAATATTTGATCGAATTATGCTACTGGCACAGAAAGGACGGGTTAATTACTGGCTTAAGGGGTTGAAGGTTATTACAGACAGCAAAACATCGGAGAATCTCTCGATCGAGTTTCATTTTCCTTGCCAAAATATTTAGCCATACCTTTAATTAAGGTAAGTCACTCGTCAGCTTTTTAGAAAAGTTCACGCAGAAGCTTTTACTTCAAAACTACTTATCAAAATTCAATTTTTATAACATATTTGAATTCAACAATGTAAATTTTTTAACATTCAATGAAAAAACTGCTCAAAAATTTACAAAGAAGCAAGATTTATGAGGGACTATTTCTTTTGGTGGAAGGATATTTAGCAGAAAATTCTGCAAATCTGCACATTTATAAAATTTAATGTAATGGAAATTTAGCCTCACATACTTTTACTCGGAGAATATTTTCCGTTTTGATATTGCTAAAAATATTTAATATAGGTCTTAATTTATATTTTTAGACTAAGTTTTACACCTTCCCTCAACAAACTTTTCCAAAAAATGAAAATACATTAAAGAAGTCAAGGTCAAATTTACACCATTTTTTGCCTGAAAATCACATATTTTGACAAATATTTCAAAATTAACATCACTGACCCCACCTTTTTCTTTCATTATTTTAAACTACTCGATACTTGTGACTGATCAGCACTCAAGTCGTAAAAAGTTTGATATAAGAAAATTTTTATTGCCTATTAAGTTTTTTAATACTCCAAATATGTTATTTTTTAGTGCAAAAAGGTCACACAATAATTTACGCGCATTAATTTGCAAGATTTGTTTAATGATAAATATTATTCAAACTATTTTACGTAAAATAAGGTTATATTTATTGCCATGCTTACATCTAATCAAATATAATAAGGGTTAAAGTAATTAACCAAAGAGATGAAATTTAAGTGCAAAAAGGTCAACTTAAATGTACCGTAGATCAGTAGGATGCACACTGACTCCCTATTTTCTTTGCGATTTTGAGTTACACTTTATGAGTACTTATCCAAAATATACTTCTCAAAAAATCCTTGATATAACAAATTTCAGGAGTGACTTACCTTAACTTAAGTAATACTAGTACATGAAGAAAGCTTTATATATGAAAAAACTGAATACATCTGCAGGGTTCTCCATCATTTGAATTTTTACTGTGTTGCAGAGTTTGCGTGAAGCACTAAATTTTTGCGCTATTTTCGAGATCAAATTCGCAACTGAATTACTTTTCATTAAACTTATATAAGAACATATGCGCACACTTTTTAAAATAAATCACTATTTCGATGTACAAATATTTTCGTCATACATATTGATAAAAGTAAAAACACGTGCTATGAAAAGCAGGGGAAATTCTGATCGATACAATCAAACTAATTACCACTTTTGAAAATAAGTTTGTTGTACTTTTTTGTCAGTTTTTTTTTTTATCAAATTACCGAATTGCAAAGGAAAAAATAGGGAAACATCAGGAAAGGATGATATTCTTACGAGTTCCTTAGAAGTATGTCGCATGCATAAAATTTTAATGGTTTCTGTGTCGTAGAAAATTTTGCTGTGTCGGGAGCAACACAGTAAAACAGCTCATGGAGAACCCTGCATCTGTAAGCTGTACAGTTATAGATTACTTCCATAATGAAACGTTTGTTTTCTTCTCCTTTTTTTCTCAATTGAAATTATTTAAAAGATGATGAAAGCTTTGATTCCAGGGATAAATTCTGTACTCAGTCTAATCATTACAAACGATTATAAACGTCACATTATTTAAATATTTGCCAAATACTCAGTATATATTCGTTTATATATATCGTGCTTACAAGACTCTTTTTTGAATTATTGTCATGTACCATTTACTAATTCGAACATTTATTGTATTTAAAGTCAATAGTGTACATTTCTTAAAACTTTCTTATCTTGTTTACTTGTCTTTCTTCCTGTGAGAGAAATAGTTCATAATATTAATAAACAGATATCGATGTACTCAGTATCTGTATCAAAATACAGAATGAATAGTGATCGGTCTCAAATGAAAAACGGATCCTTGAAAGTTCCGGTGCCTAGGAGAAGTAAGCATCCCCAATAACAGGTCACACCTGCTGACCCGCAGTGAGACTACGAAATTGAAGCCCTCTGAAATTAAATTAATGTACAAATTCTCTGCTCGTCCATCCGTTTTTCTCAGACTAGCCAGCTATAGATCTATGTACAGAACTCCAAATAAATTAATCTTAAGAATTTGAATTATCATTACCGTCTTCCTTGGAAGACGGTATTGTATAGTGAAAGTTTTTTTTACAATCGTCGAACTATGCACTTCCTCTCTTTTGTGATTGGTAGAAATTGCATGATGAGAAAATTTTCAATTATTTCATTGGTTGAAACGCTGTTCAAGGCAAGGGAGATAACTTTCTGATGATATATTTTTCGTACAATTCCAATCTTAAAAAAATGACAAAACGAACAACAAAATCAGCAGTAATTAATTCTTAATAACATAGCGTTTTTACTGTTTTATAGTGATAAAAGTGTTTTATAGCGATATATAAAAAGGTCTCTTAAATTTCATATAAATAAAATTTGATAGTTATTGCTTGCAGGCTTTACAATTTGTTATTATTCTTTTCCCCTTTCTTTTTTGAAGAGTGAATGGGAATCAGCCGAGGTTTGCCGAAAGCTCTCGGCCAGTGAACGTTTACGGAGATGACCGAGCGACAACCGTGGTAGGGCTAATGCCCGTAAAAAGCTTATTTCGAAATACAAAATCAAGAAATTCAAAATAATTATATATAGATCTGTTTACTATTTAAAATTGTTGCTAAAGACGGTAAGCTTTTTTAAGTAGGCTTTACAGTTACCTAATTTCAAAGTCAATAGAGCATGAAAGACAATTAAATTTGCAACATCAACATTTTTTTTCGTTCTGAGCACATTTGGACGCAACCAATGGAGACAATTAGGAAGAAATTTTTGAAATTGAACTTCCTGTCTTTCAAAGTGAAAATCTCAGGTTGATATTTTGAAACACACATTTGTGACATCAGTCTGGGATGTTATTGGTTTTTCCATTTTGTTAAGTACTACAAAAGTCAGTGTGTCTGCTTCTTCGCTGATGACATTGGACAAATATATGCATGCTTACTTTAATATCACCACTGAATGCATTTTTTGTTATTCTACACTGTACAGTCAAATTCCATGAAAGCATGCTAACCGCTTTTCAGTACTTTCAGTACTTTGATTTTTTACCTATTGACCCAGCCAAGTATAAAACAACGTTGAGTAACTTTCTCTGAAATGCAACTATTTTTCTGTTTGTCTTTCTGTCTATCAGTAGTCTGTCTAGATGTCTGTAAAGTTTTCACATGTTTGACTTACTCTTAAGAACCAGAGGGCCTTTATCAACCAATTCTTTTGTAAAGAACAGTCGAAGTTTTTTTGCAGAGGAAGGGTCACATACTGCGTTCAAGGGGAATATTTAGAGAATAGTGACAATGTGTATAATAAGCCTGGTGTGCGAAATCGTGTTGTGCTGACAGCGTATTAGCACCTCAGCATTTTGTGAGATATTGTATTATGGTGACAGCGTGTTGCGTATTAGCGCAACAGCGTGTTCTCCTGATCTGCGCTCTTGAGCTTTATTAAATGGCCCTATCAGACGGTCAGACACCATACATTTTAGTCAAAGTGAAATGAAAACATTTTCAGTAAATTCACTATTGCGTGGACCCTGAGGTCCAAGCAGTAAGTGAGGTTAAACCGGATGCCCTGAGCACTTTGCAGGCTACGCATGCGCGAGAATTATAGAGTTCGAGTCGGCAATTCTCGGCTGATGCCACAACACCAATCGCAACTTCACGGGCCTTTCCGACCAGCTTTTTGACCTTTGACGGAAAGGCCCGAGTCAATGCAATTATGAGATCAGAGATAAAGTATACAGTAATCCAAATACGGTTTGAAACAAGTTTTCGATGGGGGGGGGGGGGGCGGAAAAAATATGCGTACTACAGAGCTGTGTTACACGTGTACCGTCAGATCGTATTTTCTAACACTAAATTTCAGCCGAAAAAATATACAATACTAGTATATTTTAAGTCCCACACATGATGGGATATATATGTATCAAAATTTTAAAATGACGAAAATTAATGCCATGAAATCGGAGATAAAGTTCTACATATTTACTAGTTTTCAGACCTCTTACAGAAAGACATGAGTTGATGCGATTAAGAGTTCAGAGTTAAAATAACAGGAATCCAAGTACAGCTTGACACAAGTTTTCCATGTGAGTGAGGGGGCTCCGAAAAAAATAATCTGCGTACTACAGAACTGTGCTACACGTGTACTGTCAGATCTAATTTTCCGATGTTAGATTTCTTTCGAATAAATAAAGAATAAAAGTATATTTAAAGTCCAACATATTATGGGTTATATGTATCAAAATTTTGAAATGACAAAACTAGAAGTGGCAATCGGGGATAAAATTTGACAAATTTTCTATGAAAGTGTATCAGTCAAAATAGTCAGATCATTGTACAAAATGGGAACGAACTTGCATTCATATCCAACAAACTTAATCATTTTAATGAATTTCGATTAGATAAACATATATGTATGGTCCACGTATTGTAGTCCTTTTTTTTGTAAAGGACAGCAGCTTGTATATATTTTTTTGGCCAGGTCATAGCATGAATAGGGGGCAGGTTGATATTAAATAAATATTGCATGTAGTTGAGTGTAACATGGAACCCCCCCCCCCCTCCCCAAAAGAAAACCTTGGATGTCAACTGAAGGTCAGCCTGATGAATAATGAAGTCACGCCCTCCAGCGTAGCAACAGTCAACATTGCTTGATGCAGAGGCGTAATATCAGGGGGGGGGGGGCAGGATGGCCGCCCCCCCACTATTTATCCCAACATTACCTATACTATAGACATTTTTAGTGAAAGGAAGGGCGCCCTCCCCCCTCCCCCCATATTTCAGTGTTATAAAGAAAATATGTCCCAAAATGTTTGAATTGAAAGGTAGTCAGTTTTGAAAAAGAGTTAGCCACTCACCCGAGGGTGGTTTGGAATTACTTTGGAATTACCCTGGAGCCTTTTCAATATAATATTGATTTGGGCTTCTCTCAAAGCCAAAGTGGTCAGGTTAGCGATTTAGCCCGTTGGACTAGGCTTTCTATGCAATTATTCATTCTTATTTATTTACAATGAACGTTAAGCCCCCTTAAATACGTATATGTTTGTAGGAAAAGAGAATATAGCTAGGACTTTCCTGTCTACAAGTTCGAACTTCTTACATATTATATCTGAAGATGCAATATTGCAATGGGAATATTAAAATTGTCTATGCTGACAAGCACATTTCTCTTTCATTTTTTTTTTACAGGTAATACACTACTAAAATATTTGGGAGATTACAGTCTATGGAAAACAAGACTATCTGGTATGTACAATAATTATTGTAAAAAAAAAAGAGCAATTTACAACCCCCCCTCCCTCTGAAGAAAATATTACGACTGCTATCAATTGACGGCGGTGTTAAATTTAACTTAAACCTGTGTAGTCTACAAACCTATGACTGAACTGACAGTTTATGTGGTAGGTATAAGCATGAAATATCCTTAATACATAATATTTCGTCAAAAAAAATGTTTGAAAATTAATCAATGCCCTCTATACTTCTTTTGAGATTATTTTTACACGATTAGAATTTTATACTTTATATATACAACACATGCATTTCTCCTTTTGAGATAGTAATGTAATAAATTCTTTAAAAAATTAATAAAAAGCATTTTTTTAAAGAATGGGGAAAGGGAAGGGGCTACAGTTTAACCTTGAATGTACAACCGGGAAAGAATGCATATAATTCTTAGTTGATAACACTTTAACACTACAAAATAATATTTTTTACGTAATCGAAAGGGTATAATATTATTAATCCGTTTATTCTGTAGATAAGTTCTCCACACTGACTGTTGACGAGGTGTCCGTGTTATTCTGTTTTCTGTGTTCTGACTCCGGTCCTCCTGACTTCACTGACACAGAGTGGCTGGACATGCTTAATAAGATACGACAGAAAGTGTACAATAAAGAGAATTCTGTAACACGTGAGGAAGCACAGCAGACTCTGGACAGACTGAAGTCACGTGATTACCTTTGGGAAGATAAGGATAAGATCACGGAGGACACAAAGGATGAGACAATGTATAGGATAGCATCAATAAACCGTGATATACCATTCCATTACAGTAGTTATGACACAGCCAGTGTGTACCTGAGATCAGGGAGATACAACAGAAAACCCGGAGAGAAGTGTCTCAGTTGTTTTGACAGTGTCCTTGATTACTTACTGATACTCCGTCTACAGATGAACATACTGACTCACGTCACAATGGAGGACACGGAGATATATGATGAGATACAGCAGATATGTCAGTCAGAGTAAAATGATTGTAAATTGTTCTATTTTTTCTTCCAGAATTTTCTTTGAATAATTTGATTACATTTTAAAGAGTTAAAAAGTTATCAGTAGAAACATTTATACATTTAAATCAGTTTCTTTTTTTATTTGTAGTTGCTTCATCTTTTACAATTTAATGCTATTTAGTCGATTAACTTATTATAATAGAAGTAACTGATCGAATATGTTTAGTAAATCTATAATTTGATTGTATCTACCTATGTATACATAATAATAGTACAGTGTAGATGTTTAATGTACCATAGGTCGCAATTTTTTCTATTGTTTTCTCCGTGGGTTATCTACACCATAACCCATGGGCGGAGTCCTCATAACCTATAGGTGGAGCCTAGAATTGCATTCAAAATTCACAAAACTTTATTTTCAATCTTTAATAAGGTGTAACGTACATACACACGTTTACAAAATATTGGCCAAAAAAAAATAATTAGGTCGACATCTTTCAAGCAGAAATGATCTTGATTTACAATCCATTTAAAAACTTACAAGGAAATTTTCGTGTATGCCACATTCCTGAAAGTACCTTAGTATTCCGACACATAACATGTAAAGTGCTTGGAAATGGGGGGGGGGGGTATGGCTGGCCATCTTCTGCGAGCTTCCACAACAAATTTACCTCTAACTAGGCCTACTTGCTAATAAGTGCGGTTCGGTTAAGAATTTAATTTCACTTACGGGATCTAACTGATACACGCGCAGATAGGTAGGCTATTCTTTAAAAGTTTTCACACTCCAATTTGTAATTTTTCTTGTGTTTTTACTCTCGGTAGACTTTAGAAGGGCTTCCATATCATCGTAAAACTTCCCACATCGATCGTCAGAACGGTCCAACTGCTGGATTACATTCTCGGGTGTAACCGGTTCTTGGGTCAAATGAAAATCCGCTTGAGTAAGAGATAAATCCCCAATACATCAAACACATTTACTTCGTCCTCTTTAAACTGGTCCATCTGTGAGCGGGTTTTATCATCGATAGAATTGTACCACTCAAATTTTTGCGGCAGTTCAAGAAAATTAATATCCATACTCATTTCTTCACGTTAGTTTCGCTTTTTCACTGCGAGTGCGCAAAATGTTGAATGAAATCTAATAAGCATGAACAATGTATATATATATATATATATATATAGGGCGTGCTACTATAACTATGTCAGGTGACAAACCATATAAGGAAATGTTTTTTGGAACTTGTACATCATCTCCCTGCCATATTAGGAAATCTTAGAGTGATATGGTACATGTGACTTACCGTGTAAGTTTTTAAATGGTTTTCTCCAGACATCCTATAGAGAGGTTAAAAGGTCACTCGAAGGCTGCGCCTTCTCGTGACCTTTTAACCTCTCTATAGGGTATCTGGAGAAAACCAATAAAAACTTATACGGTAACTACTACTTATAAACGATATATTTTTTCTACAGTAAATATACCCGAAAATATAATCAAGAAAAGTAAAGATGAACGAGAAGAATTTCTAACGGAACTCAGAAGAGAGGGGGAGGCTGTACATTACAGAGGAAGATTACAGGACAGTGTAGATCACGTGACGTGGCTCTGGAGATACGAGAAGTGGGCTAGACCTGACATCGTGAGATCCTGTATAGGCCTTCATCCACACAATGATATTTACATCATCGACAATAAAGCTTACAGAAAACCAAGTAAGAATAGACATGTTTGATTTTATAGAAAAAAAGTTATCTCTTTGAATTTGGAACTTTACATATTTTATATAAACTCAGTCAATTATTTTTTTTATCCGTGACCTAGTACAGAAAGGTGATACATATGAAGTTTGCCTGTTGCCCAAGCCGTTCAGTAATTTGAATAAATATTACCTAAATCTACCTTGAAATTTGTTCAAACACAAATTTAAGAATGACAGGTGTCAATTTTTCTGCTGAAATAAAGGAAAGTATTGGGGTTTTGGGAGGTCGCAGTTCTTTCTTTACAATATTTTTTCTTTCAAACACGATCACGTAGAACCTCCCTCAACTTTAACTACACTACAACGTTTGTGTTAAAAGAGCGTTTGTGTGTGTGTGTGGGGCGGGGGGGGGGGGGAGTTGGGGTTACGTACGTCCCAATCTTTATTATCTATATGATGTCATCGTTTTAAAAAAAACCAAAAGTATGGTAGCCCTCCCCCCCCCACTCCTCCGCTACGCCCCCTCCCCTTCTTGTTCCGACGCCAATTGTAATCTTTTTTTTATTACTGGAGCCTTGTTAATTTGTATTTTGCAAATTTAAATGCCAGTTGAAGTATCAGTCTGTTTCTCTCCATCGATTATGTTTTAAATGTTGTAAAAGTAAATTTGTTAAGATATTAATCCAAATTAAAATCATTTTCCTTTCTCTTTTACATGATTTTCATTTGCTTATCTTTTTATTGTATGTAAGTGTACATGTATTCCACATCGTTGACAGGAGTTATCTCTCCATAATACGTACGAGTTATTTCGCGTTACAAAGGCGATATACATGAATTCCTACCTTCATTTTAAAAGTTTCACCTTATTCCTTCCATGGACCTGTTAAATGCAAGAAGAGTTTATTGCTATAATGCCTTAAAACAATCGTTTCATTTTTTAGTGCAAAATTTAGATCAACTTAATTTTAACAAGGAGCATTTGAACGATTTATAAAAATCCAGCATCATCGTAAAATGACAGCAAAACAATACAAACTGAAATGACTAGAGACGATGGAAATCCAGATATTGCACATACATGTATCTTTCATGGACGATAATGTCAAAGTTAAACCACTGATGTTGATCTTAATTCCACCCGACATCCTTAAAACCACGAACGTCGATCCTTTGTTAGCTTCAAAATTATGAATATCTCCATCTAAATTTCCCACAGTCCAGTGCCAAGGAAAGTTATTTATTGTAGTAATATGGGGTGAGTGTGGTCATTTCTTGACCTTAAACCCTATGAAAACAAGACTTGTGGCGGGCTTGGGGTGGAGTGATGAACATATAAAATAATTGATGCAATACACCTGGGGCCACAATTTGACACATTAGCCATATTCCTGGAGTGTTTGCCTGGCTGCCCCTTTGAGCGTTTTAAATGAATTGGAGTGCATTTTAAGACCGAACTAATAGTGGTCATTATATTTCGTTTATGCTATGTATTATATATCATCGGATTCGTAATAAATTAAATTCTTCTCATTTATTTACAAAAGTTTTATTGTAATGTTCTATAAATAAATAATTGAGATCAAAGCAGGTGTACATCGCAAAATAGAAATCTTAAACATGTAAAACGGCGTAAATGTGCCAATATACTGTCTTTAAGAACTAAAAAATTTATATGTGATGATGTAATTGATGGTTAAATTTTTTTTTATTATCCATTTTATAAGTTTGATTCCTCAGAAATCAATTATTGTAGTGATACTACAATATCAATCTTGCTAACAATTTTGCATACTTGCATGCTAAAAGTTGATTTCTAAACGTTTTTGAATATCTTAATGATCAAATCCTATAAAAATAATTATTTTCTACACCTTTACATTTATAAATATGTGTAAAATGGAAGGTATTATAACCGGTAGAAATACACAAGTCGGTACTTCGTTTTATAATTTATTAACGATCCAAACTTGGTTTTTCTACTCGATCTGTGTGTCGGCGTGGACAACACAAGGTCCAGTTTCCAACTGAAGATCGTGTACAAAACAACCAATTTATAACAATAATGAAGTAAACAATTACAATAAAGAGTTACTCTAAGCAGAAGGATATAATTGACATAATTACGATAATTGCATAATAATTAAAACTTTAACTCAGGTCCAGGTGGCATCAAATGTCTTGCGGTCAAGGAGTATAATTATGTTAATAATTAGCACTATATCAAAGAATATAATTATCACTTAAAATCTGTTCATTTTACACGGTCATAGTACCCCTTTTTATTGTAACCAAGAGAAATTGCTTAAGTCGGTTTCCGTTTTACAATTTTATTAAAACTCCTAAAACTTAACAAAATCTACAAGGTCGGGAGTCGGTGGACCGAGCGGCTTGGCTGTCGCTCTCCAACTGCCAATATTCTAACATGACAATGAATATAAAGATACAAAGTAATATTTTAACAATAGAATTAATGAAAGAGTGAAGAATACAAATAGATATCAATTATCGGATTAATTAAATAAACTCAATGTCACTTATATTGTTCAGATTAAAATCACTCAACGTGGCATGGCAGGGGAGAAGGTGTTATGTCTTTGGGGTGCATTTCACACGGTGATAGTATCTTCTGAATGTCTGAGAAACATGTAACGAAATCGGCACTGGGCGGTCCCGAACTTCACATCTTATATTGAAGTATTTTTATACAAATATATTATTATAATTTTCAAACCTTTCAAGAAATTTGTAGTTGATAGCTTGAATTTCATATAATGTTTTACTGGATGAGAAAATATTGCGTAATGACTGAGTTATATGCTCAAAGAATATCGTAAGTAACAGTCCGCCATTTTGAATTTTGATGGGAATTTTCGAGATTATTTTGTTTGTTTACGTAGCTAAATCATGTGATTTCTTACTGTAGTATGATGCAGTCATCTATTGTTAACCTGAAGGTGGCCACCTGTGCTCTGATAATTTATAAACAAGCGGTAATTTCAAGTCAAATCAACAATGAAAATATGCACATGTGTCAACATGTGGTCAAAAGTCTCATTAAGGGTTGGAAGCGAGGCGTCAAAACTTGTCATTAAAGGGTAAAGGAGGGAACGATCGAAGGGGGAAAGAGCTATTATCTATGTATGTACAGTCTAAAAATGCTCGAAAATACGTTTTTATTCATTTGCTACAAGTACCTTTTTAAATACGCGCGTTTTGAAGACTGTAGTTTTAGAACATATTACGATACGTAATCCGGATTTGCAATAAAAAGTGCTAGGGTTGGCGCGTAAAATAAGGGTAGGTCGGGCTACCAGAAACACAGGTATTTTTTTTTTGCCTAAAATAAGGAACTCACTACTCCTTGACTCCAAAGCAGATGCTCGAATCACTATGTCTCGCAGGTGACGAATGCAAAATGTTATTTCAATTTACAGCTATTGTTAAGAATAAAAAATCATTTTTTACAGATTTGCATTCGTATTTCAGGATTATTATTAAATTAATTAATGATCAATCTCCTCATCTTTTTTAATAGAATTTATTCAGGGATGGTTAAAGTAGAGATTTAAAAATATGGCGGGGGTGGGGTGGTTCACATCCTAAAACATCTCTGTTCAATAGGACTGAATACATACATGTACATACAGTGTAAAGAAAAAAAATGAAGTGCAGTCCATGTAGTTCGACTGAATGTTAACAATTTATTTATTTTATTTTATTAATTTATTTGTTTGGTGATTTATAATTTATTTATTTGTTTGTCATTTCAGGTAAAATCCATAGCTATGAGCCGGAAGTCAGATGTTTTCTGTATTGTTTACTTTTGTCTGAGAAATATCGGACAAGTTTCAATGAACAATCACACAGAATCACAAAGGACAAAATCAGACAGAGATATTTCCCTGATATTACTGATGACGGCTCGGTAGATCTTCCTGATGGAATCACAGAAACACATGACGGTGTGATAACCTTTATATCAGACGACATCCGACATGACGTCATGTACGCCTTTGTTACGGAGTGTCTGGTGGAGGACAGTGATTTGGAGTTTTTCTTTACCACGGCGTCACGTGACGTGATCTCAGAATACTGCCGGTCCTGTGATTATAAGAGGAGTGAGGGAGAGAGATGTCTGTATATACCGGACGAGCCGGGGGAGATGTACGACCTCTTCATAGACAGTCTACAGCTGGACATCATCGCACACTGTACCGTGTCTGACTGGATGATTCATGATAGGATCAGTGAACGTTGTAAGTATAATGTCTCCAAGATCTGTCTCTAGTTATGTGGTTTACTGGTTTATGACAATTGCAGTGAAAGAGGAAAGTATCGTTTTAATTACTATTTTGAATGTAACTATTTTTGAGATGCTTAGCAGCTAATAATAGTGTACAATGTATCCTGGCACAAAAAAGAGACCGTAACATACATGTATAAATCAAATTGTTTTGATGTCTTAATCATTCTATTTTTGATCCAATTTCCAACGAGTGTAAAAAAAACGTAGTTAAGAAGCACAGCAGGATGTTTAAAATATTTGTATAATTCTACCTTTCAAATTAAATGTTAAACTGTTACACACATAAATGATTAGTTACTAGTTACAATGTACAAGTTATCAAAATCATCAAGGTGAAAAGAAACAAACACGACTTAATCCCAATTTTATCAAAAAAGAAAATAAAAAAAAAAAACTTGAAAGGAATTTACATGTATGAGGGTCATTCAAAAGATACAATGACAAAGTTCCTCATCAAATTATTATTTTTACAAGATGAAACCTAAAGAGATTTTGAATTTCATATTGAAAAAAATATTACTTTTGTCGATGGATGTTATTTATTTTGTTTGATTATATAGAACAAATGATTTTCAAAAGCTACATGTTTATATTTCACAACGGAGCACAGTATGTAATGTAACGTTAAGGTCATACGCAACGTAGTTTTGACTTGACTGCTGGGGTTCTTTCCTGGAGTTGAAGAGTTCCACCAAATGAAGGACATGTGTGCAATACTTTAAATGTCTTTTCCTGGATTTATACACCTCTTCTGAAACAAATTTTGATGAACAAAAATCTGGAATTTGTTTTGTAATTTTTATACACTTTTCTTTGAGTAATGCAATTTTTTTGATAATTTGATATCAATTGGTAGGAAAAAGATATTTATAGCATACAGTAGTTTAGACTTTACTGGGTTCTTCCGTGGAGTTGAAGAGTTCCACCAAATGATTGACCTGAGTGCAATACTTTTAATGTCTATGTATGGATTTTTAAAACTCCTCTAAAACAAATTTTGATGAACAAAAATCTGGAATTTTTATGTGTAATTGTTTATACATTTTTCAGAATTTGATATTTTTTTCAAAACCCCTGGTAACGCATGCTGATTTTTTGTCTAACAACATGTAATGACACTTACCAGTCGTCAACTTGCGTTTAATCAATTACAATTCATTTTTTTCGACCTCATCTCGCTAAAGTCGACCCAAAAAAGAGCGCAAATTGACTTGGTTGCATGGAAAGACGCAAGGGCGATAATCGCGGTATAGCATATAGAGCAAGTGTCCTGTAAATAATGTAACAAATAATCTACATATTTACTAAAACGAAACTTTGCTTGGACAATTTAGCCCGTTTAGCCAAACTGTAACCAGTATTTATAATGTTCACGGTCTTTTCTTGTCAGTATATATTTTTCCTTCAAAGTTGGAAGGCTTTGTGTGTTTTAATCAAAAGTAAAATATAATACTAAATAATCATATAAGATATTAATGTGTTAATTACTTCAGCTTAGAGAATATTCTAGATTTATAGATTGATATATGTTTTAAAGATACATTTTAGAAAGAAATTTCATATCTCTTACACAGAAGAAATACAGTGGTATTATTGCATATTTCTTGCAATAGAAACAAGATGTGTTTGTGAAACACTATGCACCCGGCGGCAGCAAAATTTTAAAAAAAGTTTTGTTTAGTATTAACGCCACAGTCAAGGTCACAAGGCCATTGAACTTGGAAGCATTTGAAAGAACTTGATTGGTAAAGTATGGATTCTAGATGTGAAGCTTAAGTCTCCATCTCTTGTGGTTGAAAAAATAAGGCAAAGGTACGAAAAACTATTTTTGCATTAGGTCACAGGCAATGTCACAAAGTCATTAAATATGGTTTCAGTTGAAAGAGCTTAATTAGTGGAATATGCATACTTAAAATGAAGTCTCTATATTTCATGGTTCAAAAGTGATGGTGAAGGTTAAAATTTGCAGATAAAGGTTATTTTTGCATATAGGTCACAGTCAAGGCCCTTGGTGTCATTTGTAAATGCTTAATTAGTGGTCTATGATTCTAAAGTTATGGGCAAAGACATGAAAAAATAATTTGCGCATGCAGGTCACAGTCAAGTTTATTTACAAGGTCATTAACCTTGGTGTTATTTGAAAGAACTTTATAAGGGTATCATGCTTATTGAATATGCAGGTTCTATCATTTATGGTTCAAAATGCATGGCGAAGGTTCAAGTTTGCAGATAAAAGCTTTTTTTTTTGCATATAGGTGACAGTCAATATCACAAGGTCATTAACTTTGGTATCATTCAAAAGAGCTTATATAGTGTAATATGCATACTCAATATGAAATCTGTATCTTGCAATGTTCAAAAGTTATAGCGAAGTTTAATTTACAGATAAAAGGTATTTATTGCATACAGTCACAGTAAAGGTCCCTTTTTGTCAGTTGAAAGAGCTTAATAAGTGGAGTAGGAATACCAAATATAAAGTCTCTACATATGTATCTTTCATGATTCAAAAGTTATGATGAAGGTTAAAGTTTGCAGACAAACAAACAAACAGACAGACAGGACTAAAACAATATACGCCTCGGATCTACCAATCCGGGTTCATGATAATCACGTCATTCAAATTGTGTAAATTGTTAAAATGCTTTGTTGAAAATGACCCATAACATTTTTAGTATGAATATTTGGATAAATCTAAATACAATTTTTGTGATATTTCAAATTGTAGGGGAAAGGCGTGAATTTAGATACTTAGATAAATTGAGCTTAACCCCAGGGTTTAAGGATTTCACAATTAAATAAATTAAAAAAACACACATTTCTTTGATTTTTAAACAAACAGATATTGAATTTTTTTTTTAATTATGTGACTTTGCAAAATATTTAACTATTTGGAAAAGTATATCAAAACCTTTAATTTAGGCAAATCTGTTTAGATTTTAGGGGAAATGGTGATATGTCTACTTAAATACAGAAGTCTCCAATGAAGGTGAAAAGAAAAAATATATATATATTATTTGTTTTCTGTTTATCTCTATATTATATTGTTGAATGTTTTATGATACAGTGGGAGTCCCAAAAGAAATACTTAAATGGGACCAGGAGGCCAGAGAGCGGTATGTGGAGTACGCTAAGAGAGGGACACAGACAGTCCACCACGCCCGGGGGATGATTGTAGGATGTGCTGGGGCGGGGAAAACCACCCTACTTAAACGTCTGCTTGGTTGTAGTGAAGACGAGATTAAGAAAATAAAATCTACTGAGGGCTTGGAGGTGCATAAGGAAATATTTGATTTATGTGATGAAACAAAATCATTAAAAGGTATTGTTGAAAAGTACATCATCCTGCTTATTTTATTTGATCATAAACCTTTAGATTTAAAAAGAACGAAAACACAAAAAATAAAATGCGCCCATTCTATTCTCCAGTCTCTAAAAATAAACAGCTTTCATATGTTTTCGAAAGATTGTTGAAACATCATACAAGACCACTGTGAGTAGTTATGGTACGATCGCTTGTCTGCAATTCTTATCACCAATAAACATACAATATTGCAATGAAAAAAAAATCGAATTAAATTAAATCAAATGATACTGAGGGTAATTTTCCATTTCTAGCAAGAAATATGTACACAGGTGATAAAAAGGAAGAAAGTTCTGCTACAAATATAGACTCAAAGACCTTGACATTCTTTGACTTTGGAGGACAATGTGCGTACTACGCCTGTCACCAGATTTACCTGACCAGGAGAGCTTTCTATGTTGTGGTGGTGGACGCTTCTAAACGTCTGGACCAGAATGTGGATAAGGAAGTGTGCGATCAAGAAGGGAGTGTCTTCTCTGGATGGACATATGGAGGTACTTGACTGTATAAATGTTTAAAAAATGTCCATTTTCTATTGATACTATAGTTTTATTATGAAGTTTGTTATATTCACGTAAATGTTTAAAAATACTAGTAGCATATCAATCAAGCAATGATTGTTTGAAAATTAAAGCGAAATGAAAACGAATGAAAACAAGCTGATCAACAAAATTGTTTAAAATTACAAATACGAGACTCAGTATGTACTTTATATTAACTGACATGTTTATGTCCAATTTACAGGTAACATTAATGAAAGTTTATAATTATTGTAATGAGAAAAATGATGATGTTTATTCTCATCCATTAGTTAAGTAGCATTTAATACGAGAGTTGTCCAAAAAGTTCGTGGACAATGACGATTTTATGAAAATAATTTAATTCTTATTGATGGAACGTAATATTTTTGTAAAAATCAAGGTCTTTAAGCGTCACTGATAATGCACAGACCAAGGTTAAAATGGCATAAACTCTGATTAAAAGTGTTCAGATTAAAAAGATTAATTTCTATATAAGTAAAGTCAAAAATTAATAAAAATGATATGTAACAAATATAGAGGCTTTGACCATTTTTTGATATCTTATCGCTTACTATACAGACAATACAAATACAAAACAAATATGTGTCAAAACTCAAAAAAGCGACGTCGGTCGTCTGCATGGGTCACCGTCCTATCAAAACATTAGCTTTTACGAGGGTTGTCCGTAAAGTTCGTAGACAGACTAAGAATTAAATAAATGTTGCGTCATTGATATCTATTAATAGCATATTTTTAATTCTTTACTAAATGTGAACTGAGAAATGTAAAATCGGATTCAATTTCAAATGTTTAATTACAATTATGACTTCATAATCAGACGTGGTATGGAGACCCGGAGCACCGCAAAATTTCGATAAAAAAATTATTTATAACGTTATAAATTTCATTTGCATTTTATAAAATTCTGCAGAAATCTGGATGACTTTTACATTATGAGGTCGATAGAAGTTATCACTTCAAACCTGCAAAATTTGAAAATTCAAAGTTGTAAAATGGCTGAGCAATTAAAGTTAGAACATATTAAGACGGATCGGAAATATTTAAAAAAGGGACGTTTTCGGAAAAGGTGGAGCAGTGAGCAGTGATAAAATTTTGCGTAGACATCGGATTAAACAACTACAAAGACCGATACATTTTATAACCAATCGGAAAAACATAGTAAAAGAAGCCGTACATTATTATATAAGTGGCATATAGTATTTTCGGACGGAAGGAACAGTTTACAAGATGACATGCGTGAAGAAAAACCATCATTCCGAGATTGCAGCGCAAAAAATGAACTTCGTAACGTGACTCTACTGTATTTCCGTAAATAAAATCGTTTTTACGCGGACAGAGGTCGAATGATCGCATGATATGAGACAGGGATTGTTAAATATTATTTTACGTATGAAACTTTAACATTTTGTGCACATATTAATGGCTGATTAAAGCGACATAACAAATTTATTGAGTTAAACGGTGACTATATTAAGAAAAGTTACATGTACTCATATTATGCTTTTGACGTCGAGTAACGTCAAGAATCTTCATTTTAGTGCTCTGGGTATGAGTGTGTGTCAATTTTAAATTGATAAAAATATAACTATTTGTGCTCTGTTTTTGTTGACTTGCATCTTGATAAAAAGAAACATGAATTTAATGAAAATAATAGTTTCGTATATTTTATCAATGTTTGTAAGTAATTATCAATGTTGTCCACGAATTTTCCGGACAACCCTCGTATATACGATTGAAACAATGAAAGAGACAAAATATGTGTTTAAACAACTCAAAATTATTGAAATATATTTAGTGTATCAATTCAGCTTGGTTTACGTTTTTAAGCGGTATGTTTCGTTTTTCAACGATTTTTCAACGGTGTGTACAAATTCGAAGAAACACATGTACTCGTAATTTACTAAAAATGGAGATTTCTATTCATCACTTTATTATAAATTCTAGTGCAGCGTCGGGCTGGGCTGTGCCGGTCGTTTATACAAATTGTTAATTTAGTTGACGCTCATTAATTTTTGTGCATTTTTTGAATTTTAAAACTTAAAAAAATTATAATCTATACTTAAAGATTATTGCTAGCACTTGGAAGTGCGTTGCGTTTTGAAAAAGAAAATAAAGTGTGTGTCCTTGAACATATTTTAAGTCCAAATCCAAATGTTTGACGTTAATATGAAATTGCTTAACGTCAGACTGGTCCGTGAGCACAATCTGTGATCATTAAAGACCCCGATTTTTACAAACATATTACGTTTCCTAAATAAAATTTAAACCATTCTGACTTGGTTTTTCATAAAAGAAATATTTTGATATACAATAGATGCATTTAGAACCATTTATTTTGACAAAAACGTCATTGTCCACGAACTTTTTGGACAACCTCGAATGTCGATATTTGTATATGAATACAAATATTTACCTTTAGAATACTTCGTGTTCTGGATAAAGTCTATCCACACCTACTGTGGCTCTGACAATGAGGCAGATCCTAAGCCAACCGTTCTGATTGTAGTGACTCATTGGGAAGAAGGGAACAGACAGTATCAGGTAAAATAATCTGATAACCCCTTGAAGTAATATTATCTTTCTAACATCTTATACAGGTTTGTAGGATTTTAGAGATTTACTTAGTCCAAAACATTCTGTTTATTATAATATCGTCTTTGAAACGTCGGTAAATCTTGTTCTTTGAAATGAAGTTGTCACATGAATGTGTGTAATAAAATATTTTGAACCACCATCAGCAATTTCATTGAAACGTAAACATTAAACTTCTAAATAAAATTTCAAAATGACGATTGCCCATTTGTAAAATGTAATTTCATGTCACATTCTGAGTCTGCAAGATGAAAGTAATGTTAATTATTTTTAAGACTAGCAAAGGTATAAGCTTACCAGACAATTCCTTTTCTTCATTTCTTGAAAAACGGGAATGGTTATTTTATTTATAAATTCATCAGCTGTTTCATTATTTTAAAATTCATACTTTTGAAAATAATTTGGGATGATTTACATTTAACTCCTTTAATTTTGACTTTATTTTTTCATGGGGTTACATTTTGCCTGTAAAATCTAGAAAAGCAGTAACATTCCGGAGTATCGTCCCAAACCCCTAGTATAGAATTTCCCAGGGACCAATTGTTGGCCTTAAGTCATTTCTTTAAAGAATATTTGGCACCTCAAATTTTTAATGAAAACTCTTTGATCCACCCTTATATGAATTCAAAAGTTGCTTTAAAAAACTTACTATGACTGTATAATTCGATATCATAAGATAATATCGATATAGCACATATATAATGTTGATATTAAAACGTATTTCTACCTTATATATAATTGAAACAATATTTGCATTATGTTTCTGTCATTGTTATTCAGTACTACTTCACTGAAATCTACATTTGATTAAAGTGAGACTGAAACCTGATTTTATAAAACCAACAACACATTATTCATAAAATAAATCTTTGTTTTTTATTACAGAGTAAAGAAGCTCTTTTGAACAGTCTGCAGCAAATTTTCCCCAAATCGACTAATTTATCCATGTACATCACCGAAGATAACGTTTATTTCTTATCCTTTCCTGTCAAACCACTTCAGGACCTGGAAAGGATTGTTTTTAATATAGCTTCGCAACAACGATGGAAAGAAAACATTCCAAAAGAATGGGCCTTCTTTGAAATAGAGATTAATCAGAGGAAACATAAAGAAAAGATTTTAGAGGTCGTAGAAATAGCAACAGAGCTTTCAGACAAAAGTCTTGAGGGAACATTTAAACAGTATGAAGATATGTTAAGATATTACCATGATGCGGGGAAAGTGCTTTATTTTAATGAAAATCAACTCAAGAAATCTGTCATTATTGATGTTCAGTGGTTCATTGATGCTTTCAAATACATTATTACAGACAAGCTTCATTTTAAAGGCATTGATGCTGTCCAGGAAGACTGGGATGAGTACTACAAAACTGGGAATCTAAAAGACGGGCTTCTTGCCAAGATCTGGGAACATAAAGGTGATGTTTCATACAAAACAAGACAACAGTTGGAAGATTTTGAGTTCTTTGATTATTACGCGGAATCTGAATTTGTCGGAAATATTGGAAATCTACTACTGGAGTTCATGCAAAGACTTGGATTTGTAGCTCTTGGTCGGGAATCCCACTATGTGCCATGCATGAACCGGAAGAAGATGGAGGAAGAACTTTCAAATCTAATTAAATATTCAGAGAGTAAATCATCTGTCCTGATTTATCGATTTACATTTTTGCCATTTTTCTTATTTTTTCGTCTTGTGGTGGCTTGCATGCAAGAATCTGGTTGGAATGTGCTTACAACGCATGGTACATCTTGTCTCTACAAAGACACCGCTTTCTTTTTATTTGAGGGATATAATGTGGTTTTGTCAGTTACAGAAGAATCTATTCAACTTCAAGTGCTTCATTCTATGCCAGGAAATGCATTGGCAACTTATAAAACACAGAAAATTCAAGAAACAATAGAAAATATGTTGAATGACTTTGTTGGACAGTTTAACAGAAAACTTTCGTTTGTTAGAGGTGTGAGATGTAAAATGGAAAGTGCAAAAATAACTGCCAAGGATATCAGAGAACATTTTCTTTTAGAGAAAGACATTCCGAGGAATGATCAGGAAATAATGTGTCCTTTGCATCAAGTTATTAATCGACATCCTATCAACCCCAAAGAGTTAACCAAGTATTGGAAAATGTAGGAAAAGTTACTGCATAAAAGAATCTACTCGCTTTCAATATTCTTGAATGAACCTGTTTTCTGTGTACTAACATATAAATCCAATAAGTTATTTAATATTTCTGTTTAGATTTATATGACAGAAGTATTTAAGGGGTGACGGGGCACTTGTCACATGACTCAAAAGATAGATTACGTCACAGTCGCTGTTGTTTAATCTTGTTAACATCAACAGTTCTTGTGTAATTTTATTCTAAATATGTTTTATTTAAACATTTATTATTAAAAAAAAAATATATTTAAGAGGTTTTAAAGATCTTGCCAACATTTAGATATTGTGAAATTAACAAATCCACACATCCATTTTGCAGTCTAACATCAGTGACGCATTGTTTGAATTCTAAGTGCAGCGAGATCAAGCACACATAAGCTACACCCTTTGTGATCAGTTTTATTTCATAATAAATATTTTAAAATCAATAAATCGTAGTTAATTTCTGAAGCAGATTTTTTAAATAAATATTTTTTTCGTGTTTAGTAGCAGAGATTATCTGTACCTTTGTTTTATAATTTTGCCTGTTTATGTCTTCGTATAACGTCACAGTTGATTTCCCGCACTCGGAAACTGTAGATATGAAACGTTTTTTCTCATGATATTATGTAACGTCTAATTCAACGATGTCCTGTGCGATACTTTTTAAATTTATTTTTAACCTTGTGGTCAGCATGTATGTCTAGCCAATTTTATCGATAAACAAATGTGTATTGAGTGAATGATGTTTTTTCTTCTCCTAAGATTGACAATCATTTGATTTAACCCAACCATTCAATCATTGAAGAATCTACTGAGAGGATACAGAAGGATACATCTCTCTGTCACAGATCAATTCAAGGAACTTTTCCAGAACGTTCAGTGATCATGCAATTACCTGAATTTTACATAAAGTTCATTCCGTATATCTAATAATGCTCTTATTTATTTTTTCAGTTCTAACAAGCATAGAAACTGATGTGAATACTAGCAATCATGTACATGTACATGTAACCCACGTATTGTAATTAAAAAATAACAATATCCATTTTAATACTTATAGTTTCGCTTTTCTTCTTTCGTTGTGTGTATGACATCGAAATATTTGGAAAATAATCCTGCAATGGACTAACACTTCTCTCTCAGCTATACAGCAAATACTTTTTGTTCATATTCAGTATCAATTTAACCAAAGTCAGTCCCATTTACTTGTCTTGTGAGTGATTAACGTTGAATTCTCCCTCACTGATTCCATGCAAGAGTTATTGTATAATTATAATTTTATTTTTACTCTTAACACATGTATCTTCAACATATGAATATACTTATGAATGAACATCTGTGGTATCTAGGCTGGACTATGCGAATGCTCTACTTTATGGCACAAATACAACAGAAAAAGCCAAATTATAAACTGAGGAATACTGAACACAACAGCACGCATAATAACCCGTACCTGGAAGAGGGAGTATATTACTCCAAGTCTTGTTTACCTTCACTAGTTTCCAATTGAAAAACGCATCCACTGCAAAATTCTTATTTACACTTACAACGCAATAAAACAACATGTATAAACATTGTCATTAATTTAAAATTTCATAGCTTCTTGTTTAGTTATATATGCTTGTCGGAGTGCTTGAATAAAAGTGTAAATGTATTTATACACATTTCATAAATTGCCAGTCAATGATATTATTTTAAAGTGAATACATGTACAAAATTTATATACATGTATAAGAGAGACAAAGAAAAAGAAAGAGAAAGATAGGGAGAGAGATCATTGATTCGTTATATTAAAAGCACAATGTGATGGTCAAGCCCTGAAGATTTCCGGCCAAGATACTCCTCGATTAAGATGAATATAGCTACGGTTTTATTTTCTATATAACAGATTTAATTGTTTGGAATAGAGTAAGTACAACACACCTTTCTTTACTATCCCTGATATGTACACACTTCCTTTGATAAAATCCTTGAGTTTTAATTGTTCTCTGCTGAAATAGCTGACGATTGGGATTTTTGTGTTATCTGTTAGTTATTTGGTAGTTATTGGGAACAGACTACACACATTCAAATGGCCCAGGTTCAGCGTGAGTACTTTTCCTTGCTTTTTAAAAAAAAATTCTTATTCAATCATTTTTATGATTTATAAAAAGGTCTCAAATATACTATTAGGAAAATTATATAACTTAAAAAAAAAACACATTTTTTTTTCAAAATTCAACTTTGGAATCATTGATAATATGTCTATCAATGTTTTATTTTATATCACTAACCTTTTTGAATTAAAAGTATTTAATATACATCCCATTGATGCAGAAAAACAAACTGTTAATAGCTATTTCTACCAAGTGCATTTTCATTTACACTGTATTTTGAATTTTTGCATGAATAAGAAGGTTATGGTCAAGATCTAGTAAATTACTTTAGAATGGTTTTTGTGCTAGATCCAATATGACGTCATAATTGATTCAAGCATAATTTAAGTTAAAAAGAAATAATGTATAAAATAAAAACTTATCCATGCACTCACTTTGAAATCAGATGAAAAATGACCCCTGTATCTATATTCAATTTAAAATCAGTTCAATTTAGAAAAATGCTATTCTGAGAGACAGTAGACAATATTGCTACATTTCTTTTCACTGAGATGAAAAAAAAAACTGCGACATTTATACCAGACTTTCTGCATTTTTCATTAAAAATAAGTGTTCAAAATGTTTTTTTATCTAGTTAATCAAAAATTTATTTCAGAAAACACCGTATTTCATCGAACTTTATTTGTAAAATGTCATAAAAAGGAAATGTTTCTCAAATTTGAATAATCTGATGGCACCTTCTTTAAGTAGATCTTGACCTTCACTGTGATATTTAATATGACGAAGAAGACAATGATGATTATGGTGATTTTATTTCTTATTTAAAACAGCCCCTGCCGGAGGACCTCACAATGTTGTGGTAAGTAATATTAGATTACACAATCACATCGTTAATTTTTTTTTAATAAAAAGCTACTGTCTGATTAAAATTAAAATGAATGGGCATTCTTATTTTTTTTTCTATCGTGTTACTGTACTTCTTATTTGATTTAAACTATATTTGATGAATTTGACAAAGTTACTCAATATTGATTAAGACATACATGTATAACTTTGTTCCCTAATGACAAGTAAGCCCCATGTCTTACAACATACAGTATGACGTACATTTATATTTCCTTTAAATTAGGTCACACATTATGTAAAATAGAGAATGGCGTCAATTAATCTGTAAACAGTGAAAACTGTCTAATCCGACACCTGTTTAATCCGACACACTGTGAATTAAGATGTTAAATTTCCTTCCCATTTAAGTGTTTTCATTGTTTTTAACACTGTGCAATCCGACACCCTGTCTATTACGACACAAAATTTGTCTCCTAGTGCATGTCGGATTAGACAGGTTTCACAGCGCAGTGAAAACTGTTTAATCCGACACCTGCTCAATCCGTCACACTGTGAATTCTGACGTTAGATTTCTTTCCAGATTAACAAATTTGCATGTAATTTTACACTATGCAATTCGACACCCTCTCTACTCTGACACAGAATTTATCTTCCATAGCATGTCGGATTAGACAGGTTTCACTGGTTTGATTTCTTTTTTAGGTCACACAGCCTGTCCCCACCACGGTCGTCGTGTCTCAGCCTCCCCAGAGGAACTGGATGGTCCCTGCTATACTCACATGTTTGTGTTGTTTCTGGCCGACCGGAATCGTCGCTATTTATTCCGCATACAGAGTAAGTGTATTGTGAAACATAGCCATGATTATCTTTAAATTTATGATAGAAGCTTGATAAATCCAATTTTAAATTAAACCAGCCAAACTCGTTTAAAAAAGAACACAAAGCAAAATGTGTCACTGATGAAAGCTTATTTACTCGAATAAAAAATATATTTATTTTAAAAAAGTTTTATTTGATGCTAAAAAGAGATTATTTATCACTGTTTATCGTAACATTTTTAGCTCACCTGAGCCGAAGGCTCAAGTGAGCTTTTCTGATCAAAATTTGTCCGTTGTCTGTTGTCGTCGTTGTCGTCGTTGTCGTGGTAGTCGTCGTTGTCGTTGTCGTCGTAAACTTTTCACATTTTCATCTTCTTCTCAAGAACCACTTGGCCAATTTCAACCAAACTTGGCACAAAGTATCCTTGGGTTAAGGGAATACAAGTTTGTTCAAATGAAGGGCCACGCCTTTTTCCAAGGGGAGATAATCATGATTTAGAGAAAAATTATTGGTATTTTAAAAAAATCTTCTCCTCAAGAACCACTGGGCCAGGAAAGATGAAACTCATGTGGAATCATCCTCAGGTAGTGTAGATTCAAATTTGGTCAAGTCATGACCCCCGGGGGTAGGGCGGGGCCAAAATGGCCGATCAAAGTTTTACATAGGAATATATAGGAAAAATCTTTAAAAATCTTTTTCTCAAGAACCATTGAAACAGGAAAGATGAAACTCATGTGGAATCATCCTCCGGTAGTGTAGATTCAAGTTTGTTCAAGTCATGACCCCCGGGGGTAGGGCGGGGCCAAAATGGCCGATCAAAGTTCTACATAGGAATATATAGAAAAAATCTTTAAAAATCTTCTTCTCAAGAACCACTGGGCCAGGAAAGATGAAACTCATGTGGAATCATCCTCAGGTAGAATAGATTCAAGTTCCCCTGGGGGTAGGGCGGGGCCAAAATGGCCGATCAAAATTTTACATAGGATATATAGGAAAAATCTTTAAAAATCTTCTTCTCAAGAACCACTGGGCCAGAAAAAATGAAACTCATGTGGAATCATCCTCAGGTAGAGTAGATTCAAGTTTGTTCAAGTCATGACCCCCGGGGGTAGGGCGGGGCCAAAATGGCCGATCAAAGTTCTACATAGGAATATATAGGAAAAAACTTAAAAAATCTTCTTCTCAAGAACCATTGAAACAGGAAAGATGAAACTAATGTGGAATCATCCTCAGGTAGTGTAGATTCAAGTTTGTTTAAGTCATGACCCCCTGGGGTAGGGCGGGACCAAAATAGCCGATCAAAATTTTACAAAGGAATATATAGGAAAAATCTTCTTCTCAAGAACCATTGAAACAGGAAAGATAAAACTCATGTGAAATTATCCTCAGGTAGTGTAGATTCAAGTTTGTTCAAGTCATGACCCCGGGGTAAGGGTGTGGCCAAAATGGCCGACCAAAGTTTTACATAGAAATATATAGGGAAACCTTTTTAAATCTTCTTTTCAAGTACTTCAAATCCAGGATTAGTAATATTTGTATGGAATCATCCTCAGGTAATGTAGATTCTAGTTCGTTCAAATTATGATCCCCTTGGGGGTTAAAATTCAACCCCCCCCCCCCCCCCCCCCCCACCCCGACCTCAGTAAACTTTCAGTTCTGATCTGATATGTGTTTTTTTCCTAGCTGATGTGCTCAGGTGAGCGCTGTGGCCCCTGGGCCTCTTGTCTTTAATTTTTTCTATCGTAGTCTTATATATAATTTTTTTTAAGAGACGAAATGATTTTTAATAACATGTTACGATTATAAATGGATTAGAGATGCGTAATTTTTAATTTACAGGCAAAAGAAGCAGCATCTAGTGGTGACGTTTTAGAAGCGGAAGTTCAGTCTAAACGCGCGCGCCTATTTGTCATCATCTCTCTGGCAGTCGGGGTCGTGCTCTTTGTAATCATAATAATTGTACGCGTATCAAGCCCTAGCACGAATCAATACTAACGTTTTAACCATTCCTGCTAGAGGCATTTAGACTCCGAGATTTTTCTTTCTCAGAAACATTCTTAGCTAACACTTTTTTTGTATTAAATACATCAAAAAACGTCTGTTTTTTTTCTATTTTGAATATAAACTTCTGAATTGTCAATGAACTTGTTTGTAAAATCAAAAAGTTTATTTTACAAACTGATTTTACAATTAACTAGTAAGTAGATTTACCGTTTCATTTTTGTTGAAAAACAGCTTTCAGGTATGTCATAGAGTCTGCACTTGTTAAAAGGAAAAGCCTAGACAATCTTACATGTAACATAGAGAATGAATGCATTAAGTGTTCTCAATGTTTTACGTTTAGATGCTATTGCTTTTGGTATTTTTGAGATTTCAATTTTTAAAGGCTCTTTGGTGTTGATAAGTACAAACATCTGATTTGCACTTTTTGATTATTTTGTTGCTCAGTACTCCTTCACTACTCTGAATATTTTAGTGCGAAGTAAAGAAAGGTTTCGTAGAAAATGAATTGAAATGAGATTTTATCCATGTTTTAAATATTTTAATATAATTTAGGAATCCAGTATAAGTATGATGAATCGAATTAAATTTTGAGCTTTGAAGCATAAAATTTAAAAAAAAATTGACATATGATTTTGAAGTATTCCGAACTAAAACAATTGTTAAAAATTCATTGACACGAATATGTGTATGTGTCAAGCAATTCACTGTCTTATCTTATATCTAAAAGAAAAAGATTAAATTGTTTTCATAGATATGAAAATGTGTTTTGACTTATTAAAGTTATATGTCAACTTTTTAAGCGTGTTGAAGATCTTGATTTTTGTTGATGCGACGAGTTTACATAAATAATTGTAACCAACTATATAACCAATTTCATTGGGGGGGGGGGGTTAATTCATTCCTTCATTAGTCTAGTAATAAAAGGTTATCAAGTTAAATTTACGACAGTTATAATGCTATTTTTACATAGTTATGACCATGAAAAATTGTTAACTTAACCCCTTCCCGTGCAAAATCAAACTATCCACTACAGGAAAGTCTTCCTGTATGTGATACTTCCTAAACAATACAATGCTGCATTCATTGTGAGCCTTCGTTCTGAACACCAATCCCAATCAATTGCTTCCGCTTCTGTACAACTTGGTTATACGTATTAAAATTATTAATATATTCCTTGTATTCTAGTATTAATATAATTACGAGGGTTGTAAGAGACGTACACAGACCATGTCTATTTGGCTTCTTTGCCATGATTTTGAAAAAAAAAATACAAGAAAGGGTAACAGCCAAATCTGACCCCTTAATTGATGTAAAAATCAGATGACTATTAAAATTGTAATATTTTGTAATGAAGAACTTTAAAGTATGTTTGCATTTTAACCAGTAATATTTTGGATTCAAGGCTTCCATGGAAGCCACTGGAGGGTACAGAAGTAGAACATTTTCCCAAAATTCCTCAATACTGGTAGAATTTTATCATATTTGAGATTCTTTTTTCTTCGGAAAACACGGGGAACAAGCCTGCCTATCTGAGATTTTTACACGTAAACAGCATCTGATACTTTTTTATTAAGATACATCTTTCTCTGTAATAATTAATTAATAAATAATTTAATTTCAGTTTTAACGCGTCATTTGATTGGTTAAACGGTTTTATCCATTTCGTATAACATAACTTGTCTACGTCACAATGAGTTACGTCAACAACGTATCACTCCGCTTGACGTTACTTTTAAAATAATTCTCACTTTGAAGCCTTTTCCTGGAGGAAATATTGTCTCATTGTCAACATTGACATTAAATCATAAGAAATGAAGGCGGTTTATAAATAAGCATAAACTGCCCCAAGTTTTGTTATATCGGATAACATAAGTTGAAATAAGCTTCATTTCTTAAACAACTTCCAAAATCCAAAATCTGTATCTAGAATATATATAGAATACACTGTATAATAGCATTAAAATTTTACGCATTTTTTTCTGATGACTAACAAAAATCAAAGTACTGAAAGCACTCATGGGAGTTGAACGTGGTGTTAAATAAAATCTTTGATCGGGAGGTTAAGTGAGTGAACAATATTATTATTTCAAATACAGACAACTGTTTCAGTTTTTTTGAGTTGCAAAAATCTTGAGAAAGACATGCAGAGACATTGAATAGCCAAAAAAATGCAGGGGCCATATTGTTGCCTGCCTACATTAGTCCTTTTTTATCACCCCTGCTTGAAAAGCGGGAGGGTATTTATTAATCTGGATTTCCGTCTATCTGTTTGTAACGCTTTAGGTATACACATCTCTTATCTCAACTCCTCTTACACCACTGAACGAAATTTTCATAGAATCTTTATTACATATTGCCGTTGTGCACCTTCTATTACTATAATACTTTTTCATCCTACACATATTTTGGGTTTCCCATTGCAAAACATGGACACTGCCATTATATTCATATTAGAGGCGGTTGATCATTTATATAATTCACTGCTCACAGTCTTCATATTTATAAGATATTTTTCCTTGGCACCCTTACCAATGTGTTATGAAAATTTCAGTTTCGCAGGAATAATATCAGTGCTGATAAAATGTGGATTTTTACACAGCATCCTTTTAAGAGCTAACAGGTTTGTTAAAAAAAACGTCTCTGTGAATATAAATGTATTTTAATTACATTAACATTATACACGGAGTACGTCAGAACTTAATCTTTTTTAATATTGTGAAGGAAAAAGCAATACCAAGTTTAAAACAAATATTTAATGACCAAACATAAAAAAAGTGGTATATGAGAGAGTTTGTGTGCGTACGAGTTATCTGGTATGTAAATGAGGTTTTCCTTTTATTAAATAAAAACAACTTCATTTTGTTGTTTTTACGAAATGATTTTACGAAAACATCAGTGTCCGTTTTTTGGTTTTAACATTTATAACAGAGTACTAGATTTACCGCTTTTGGCAGTACATGTAGTATGTAGAGTTGTCGATCGTATCTTTTTCAGTGTATGACGCCACACAAAAAATGAGTTCCATTACGAAAAACTTTTGAGGTTCTTTATAATTTAGTATTACTTTGAACGAAATCTAATATTCAAAATAAGATTACTTTATCATTATTACATTTACTTACATTTCAAATTATGAAAATTAGATCAATTCAGGAGAAAATGACATGAACTATTTGTGGCGGATGTTTATGCATGTTTTCTGTGGAATATCATGGGAGTAAATCGGTCGACATAGTAGCCTCGCTTTTGGCTGTATATAATCAACACAAATTACTGCGCATGTTAAATACGTGATGGCCATGGGAGATTGAACATAGTTCAACTCCCAAAAAGCAGAATTTACGAACGATATTAAGGCCAGATCGGAATTTTTTTTAAAGAAAGAAAGATATGGAGATAACGAACAGTATCTAATCTCAAAGTCCATAAAACAATACAAAATAGGAGCAGAGCAAACACGGACCTCTGAAACATCAGAGGTGGGATCAGGTGCCATGGAGGAGTGAGCATCCTCTGATGACCGGTCACACCCGCCTTGTGCTCATTGTCATGATCAGGAAATAACGAAAAAAATCCGTCGTTAATTCAGTGTATAAATAATGGACTGACAATTAGTATGTTAGTCGCCAGTAAGCATTTTGCTCAGTGAAAGTAAAATACATTTAACTCAAAGGAAGTTAAATACAAATATAGTGCCCAAACAAACAAGTGGCGGCTCAGACAGCACCATTCCGTTAACAGCTACCTGGCGTCATGTTTACTTTAAAAGGGGCCTTTAATAAGCGCCATTCATACAAGAAATTTTCTGGATAATTTTTTTTGCATTGAATTTATATCTTTGAATATAATACACCTGACCTTGCCGACAAATTGAATACTGTGCGTTAGCTTTGTATGATAATTTTTCTGAATGGCCAGGTGTGTTATATAGAATCGACGACATCCAAAAATATGAATGCAATGCTTACATGTACATTCTATAACTTTCCCTTTCCATAATTGTTTATTTTGTTAATCATTAATGTGAATTGATCGCCCTTTAATGCGATGAATTTCATACACGTAAAAGCCGTTTGTGACGTTGCAAACTTAAAGAACGCAAAAGAACATTGCGAGAAAGAAAAGCGACAAATTTGTTTTAAACGCACATTTGTTGTATTTTTACGGTAATTTAGCACGGTTATCGTTCTCCATTAAAATGAAATAAAGCAATGTACATTGCGGTGTTCTTAATGTATTGAAAATGCACGTAGTCCCTACTGTGTATTATACAGCGCAGACAAGGTTATAGAGATTTGAACGTCGTGGATTTCTAATGGTTTTCTTAGCGAAAATTACACTGAATGTAAATATTTTAATTTAGATACCTGGAAGCATGAAAAATTACATGTAATCTCCTCATCTATATACATGTAGGATTGAGTTACTTCCCTAGGTACATGTATATATACAAAATGCTACAAACTTTTTTCTGTAACCTTATTTTACTTATTTGTTTCCTTGTCCATGATGTCCAACTTATAAAGGACATCAGGTTCAATGAAATGGACAAAGGGATAGTTTCACGTTATGAAAATCAGATATATATATGAAATACCTGGGCTGTTTTATCATGGCAAATTTGATTAATCATGACAAAAGTGCATCACATCATTTTTAATGTACATTATACACTTAATTTTGACATGATAACACAATACTGGCGTTCCATAATTATGCATTTGATATACTAACAAATGATAAATATTACCTCACTCTGTACACATTAAAAAATCGTTTGTTTTCTGGTTTTTTTTTACTCTGATTTCAGAAATATGCTAACATTATATTTGACCGCTGACATGTATTCGGTTTAACATTAACTTTCAAAACATACACAAATTTAATTCGAATTTGCTTCGCTAAAAATTAACAGAAAGTTAATGTGACGTAATTTGATTCAAACATTTGATTTATCCAAACGTATTTTATTGGTTTATAATTTCCAATGAGAACAAGGTTCATATTTAATGCGCAGTAACATGCATTAAATTTGAATACTCGGCTAGGTCACATATATTAAACCTTTTTGTAAGTTACATGTAGTAATCGTGCCTAAAGCGTTGAACACTGCTTATATGGCAAAACAAGACCTAGATGATAACAGCAAATGTATAATAGGGAAAATCTATACAATGTGTTTTTAATAATAAATAGTTTTTAAAGTCAAACGTTAAACTATCATCAGTAATGATTGATTGATTATTGTTTTAAATCCCGTTCATGATTTTTCTACCCATATAATGAGATCACTTTATATCAGTGAAAGTCGTCAAACTTAGAGCTATACTTGGTACTTTGGACAATCATTCACTTGCCGTGACTGGGGTCTTGTTGTCTTTGTTTTCATTGTCCCCTTTGAAATACTTGCACTGTAAAAAATAATCGCAGGTACGTTAAAAAACAATCGATTAATCGATCAATTGACCATATCTGTGAATGGATTGTTCTTGCAGTGTCTAAACATTAGGGGAATCATAGACATTATTGGTATCTTATGATTGAATAGAATCACTGTTCTCACTTAGGACTAAGGTATCTCTTATAATCTATGTTTGTCCTTAGATGACCTTGATGGGATGCATCTCAGTGCCTCGGAGAAGAAGGCATCCGCTAGCGACATTTAGAACAATCCATCAACACAATTAAAGGGATTTAATTATATTTTATTTTAGAAAGTATTTTTTTAAAGATATTTTTTTCAAAGGGTGAGGGGAAAATATTGTAAGCTCAGTTTTCAAAATATTACTTTAATTTTTCAATGGAGCTTTGGTTAAGATTGGTAAAGTCCAGTTTATTTAGATCATGACTCATTAAAAATCCAAGTAGATAGCAAGGTGGAATTCATTTTAAAATTTTATTGAAATAAGGGGAATTCAAAACAAGAATTTTAGAATTGGAGGCCAACATCTGTATTGGGTAAGCATTTCCCACCAAATAAAGAAAAAAACCCTTTTATTCCTCTTAAGTGTTATACCCTAAATCTGGAAATTTTTTACTGTACATTAATTTTTAGCAAATTTGCGAGTTCATTGCATTCGCAAAAATATTTTTCTAAAAATAAATCACCAATAAGAAAATCTAAACAAAGCACTGGTCATTTGCAAAATTGAAACGTAAAAATTAATCAACAGGATTTTGACCCGAATTCGCAAAATAAAATCGATGTAAAAATTTCGAGATTCACGGTATGATACTGATATTGTGTACGTATTTGGGTTAAAGAAGTGTTTAATTGCCATTTAGATTTTATCCTTGACTATTTGAAATTCTTAATAAGCATTGTACGTTTCCTTAGTTCCGATGAATGTGTAAATACAAAAAAGAAACAAATGCTTTTGGGGTATATTTACAAGTCATTATTATAATTTTAAACTCCAATATTTAAAAAAATATTTCAGCAGAGGTAGATTACTATTTATAATGCCATGTTTATTTAATACTCGCTGTTTATTTCTTATATTTGAATTCTTCTATGTTGTCAAGAATATCAGAGGAAGTCCTACCTTTTCTATGATTTTTTAAGTTCTTTGATTTATATCAAAGAGCTGAAATCGTTCTTGAAATAGATATATATACTATGAAAGAAATTTTGCTTTTTCTGAATGTTAAACACTTGAGCATGAATAGGTTTTGTTCTTTGCAAAAATATCCGTTAATACGAGGGATGATCAAATAGTTTGCGAACTAATTGAATAGCTTCCATAAAAGAAATGATAGAGGGTTTTGTGTTGAACAATTTAAAGTAGTCCTCTCCAATCAAAATGTACATCTGCGACCGTTCTGCCCATACGCGAATCACGTGATCTAGGCGGTCACATGACATGTTCCGTAGCGTTTTGTCACAGGGGGTAAAGGATTTTTACGAATCTTATACTTCTTGCCATACAAGTTATTATTTTTTTTTTTATAACTGATTTTTTTTATAACAGAACAGTCCATTTGTCAGAAATGGCCAAATATCGGCAATAGTATTGGTTGATAAGGATAAACTTTTCCAGAATGAGCATTGTGACCATCCTAACCCGAGTCCTCTGTCTTGGGAGTGTCATCTTCTCAATTTGGAAAAAAGTATGGTGCCTCCTCTTTATTATAGCTAATATGATTGAAGTCTTAAGTAAATGATATTTTAGGGATGTAATAATTAATTCTTTTTAAGATTTTCAAGTATTTTTCTAACTGTAAGTTGGCGATCTTTCATATCAAATTGTTAACCAAAGGACACATATCTTCCCCGGTTTGTTTTCTCTAGATAACAAAACTTACAAGATTTTTAATCATCTGCCTTCTTTCACTAAAGCAATCAGTCCAATGACTTAACTTCTCTCATGTCTTTTGTCTTCCTAAACAGTTACAAACTGTTATGGATCTATCACTGCGAAAGGATTTCCAAGATTTAACTTTACAGCCGTTCGATGCTCAAGTACGATGGTCTCATCCATTTCTTGTCAAAAGTGATCTACATATTGACCTCATTTTCACATTTTGACATCAAAAACCTGGAACAGAACATTTCATTACATTTGCTATGTATAGAACCTGTGTATGGCTATATGTGTGCTAAAGTTGATTCTAATGTGATATGTGGTTTTGAAATATTGAGATAATTCGCGGACCTTTTGATCATCCTTCACATGAAAAATAGATAATCAATCAAAAGTTTTATTATTCAATCAAATACTTTGACCAAAATTTTATAATCAATTATTTTGAATATCTTTTTTTCCTGAGATTATTACGAAAAACAATTGTAAAAATTATGTGTTTTGTACATTTCATACATGCATATGTTCTTCTGAACGAGTATTATCGTAGTACAGGTTTTACTATGTGAGTGTATAAAATAAATTGCACTCAAAGCAGAAGAAAGTGTGTGTATTTCAGCACTGAATTCTTATTTTTGGGTATCGTCGGTCTTATAACACCTGGCCCTGGCGATAAACCGAATACCTCAATCGCATTAGCGCGGTGAGATAATTGGTCGGCACGGCCAGAGGTGTTATATGACCGACGGCATCCAAAACCAAGAATTCAAAGCTTATATTTACATTCTTTAATTTTTCCTCTTCATCATTGTTATTGAGATCATTTTGAATATGAATTTAGCGCCCTACGGTACTGTTGTGCTTAACTGACGTACATGTATATGTAACAGGCGTTTGTGGGATTGAAGAGTTTAATATGGCTATTGCGAGAAAAAAAATGGCAATTTAATTTTTAACGCACATTTGTATTTTACTTTTATTTAACAGTTTTTTTTTAGTCAAAACAATATACATTTGGGTGTTCCTAGATATTGAAAAGTAATGTAGTTCCTACCTTGTTTTCCACCGCATTGTGAAAAGGTTTCGCGTACGTGTGATATAGATATCACTGAATGTAAATATATAATTATTTATTCTTCCTTTTTTTTGCATTTACTATATATCGATTGAACGTTCTTGAATCTCTGAATTGTTACTGATTTTGAAATGAGGCAGATTTCGGGTTGTTCATGAATAATGTGAACACGATATCCTTATATCTTTAAAATTGTATCAAAAAAGGACCTTTCGCAATATTCGATATTTTGGCTCGGATCGGTAGTTATTGAAAAATTCTGAATTTAGGAATGTCGAAATACTGTGCATTTTAAACCTTTAAATGGTTTGCAGGTTGCCAATTGTGCATGTTGCTGGAGCAAAGCAAGCTGATATTTACAGAAAGGTATTCTTTTGTATTTTTATGTTGGTTTCAAAAAAAAATTCATTTGATATTTAAATTCAAAATAAGCATTAGAATAGTTTTTCTGTATTTAATTTGTATATGTGGGGCGCTGTGTGTACGAGGCAAAGGAGAAAAGGGAGTAATTTGATGAAATACTTGTATAAGATTTAGATGTTTTTGTCTCTCGTTTTGCGAAAGTGAGGGGACACTAAAACCATAAACCAAAATTCAAGATTGGTTTGAATATAATTATTTTGTTGTTTTTTTTAAATCAGATTTGATACTGACAAAAAGTATGCAGTCCCAGCAATACAGTTCACAGTACAACCATAACCAAAGTTATGGAGGAAACTCACAGAGTGTGATAGTAAGATTTTTGTTTCGATTTTTTTCATTTTGAGGCTCCTTCCTTTGGAAATGCTACATGGTATAATTAGAGATTAATGCAGAAATATAGGTGTTTTCCTAAAAGTCTGGAATACATTTTTTTTTTTGCATAATCGTTTTCATCCCGTTTAGATTAAAAAAATATCGCACCACGTAACATGTATTTTCTCTTTTGGCAATTGTTTGAATTGATTATTTTAAACACAATTTTAGCATTTGAAAGGCAGTGTATATCTCTTTTTCTAAAAAAAAAACTGTAAAAAAATAACAACAAGATTTTAGTTACATATGGATTAAAGAATTATCAATAATATCGATGTAAAATGTGCATAAATATATATATACTTCACAGCTACTTCTGTCCTTTAATTTTTTTTTTTCTTCTTAAAATTTCTAGTTAATATCTCCCTGTTGAACTCACGTGAACTTTCATTGATTTTTTTCACATATTCACATTTAGATAATAAAAATGCGTTTTTTTTAATCATATTTCCAGATTTGGGAATACGGGCGTACCTCTTTAACATTTATTCACACGTTACAAATCTTTATTTCATGTTATACATCTAATTAATATACTTTTATTTTCATTTTATTGTAAGGTATGCAAGTTGCTTATTTCAGGTAACTCAGCCAACCCCCGGGGTTGTACCAGTTGTTCCACAATCACAATACAGGGATTGGATGATCATCTCAATTCTTGTTCTTGTCTTCTGTTTTTGGCCCACTGGTATACCTGCAGTGATTTATTCTAAAAAGGTATCATAATCACTTGTTTCCTTTGTCTTGTTGTTTTGAAGTAGAGTTAAGGTTGTCACCATGATGACTTCGTACGGTTGTTTTCTGTCTTCGAAAGGTAAGTTCCCTGAAAAGTATACACATTATCATGATTATTGAAAACCTAATTGAATTCTTCGAATGAGTATGAAGAAAGTCAGCAATGCATTAATGTATCACAATTGAAATTAAAATGTAAAGCACTTGAACCTATAGGAAACTGCAATGTTTTAAATTCCAGCTGATTTTTTTAGTTATTGGATGTTTGAATTACAATTCTGATGTTGGATAAGAAAATTATTACGTTATTCTGGGCCATTGATTTGGTTTTCAATAACCTAATGAATTTGTAAGGAATCCTGTTTCGCAATGTTCAATACATCATTTATTCACAATTTTGTGTGCGTTAAAGCCAATAAATATAGAGAACATACATGTATAATTGTTATAAAATATTACCAAGTCGCATAGAAAATATACAATTAAAAGAAATCGTCATTTCTATTAATGCATTAGCTCCTGAGCTATAGTGTATTTGTACAATATCCTTCTCCCTGTGCAATAAATTATTCCCTTCAGCTAAATCAGCATCTTCATAAGCTAAGGTGCTCCTTTGAATGCATTCGACACAAATAGAAAGAGAAATCGTCGAGTGTAGAACCCGGCTTGGAGATGCAAATGTACATCATCAAAATACACAGTATCTACAAGCTAGTCAATAATGTCCTAAAAGATGGCCAAATACCCCATTAACTTGTAACTGATTCTTTTATACCCCTTTTTTTCAGACAAACAATGCAATTCGTGATGGAGATTGGGCACATGTTTCCATCTACACAAAGCATGCAAAAACATTTGTCATTATCTCTCTGATCGTGGGAATCAGTTTAATTGTCATTTCCATTGTCGTGCGAGTTGTTCTTACAATTCTCTTTTCAAGCTGAACTCATTTCAAATTTGAATCATCCAATTTTAATTTTCATTGACCTATTTAATTTTGTTTATTTGGAGAATTTATAAAAAATATTTGTTTTGTTTTTCATTTTATAAATAAATCATTTAACTATATCTTACTTGATTGATTTATGCGATTTTGATGTCTCTATTAAAAACTTTTAAACTTGAAAAAAAAAATTAAAATAAAAAAAAAACCCTAAAAATGACGTTCCACTCATTATAATGATACAACGGAAAAGCGCTGTTATGTTAAAAAGCATTTGAAAAAGTGCTGCTTATAATAATATTTCAAATTTTTAAAATCAAAAATATTCCTTGGCGAAAATTGTGAGCTTCTATACTATTTTCATATATATAAATACGAATTGTGTTACATAACATGGCAGGGGATAACATGCTCTTTCCTCCATGGCACCATGCTTAGGGGCCATAAAACCTAGACGAGATCACTCTAATCTTAGTCTCACTTTTACCAAAAGAATATATAGTGGCTGAGTGTGAATGAAATCAAAAGTGAGCTCCTTAGTTTTAAGTCCCCAGGCCAGGCTCAATGGCCACAGAACGAGCTCAATTTTGATCTCAGTCTCTACTTTTTTAAATGGGTTTGATAGTGAAACTAAGATCGAAAGCGAGCTCATCTCAGTTTTATAGTCCTGGAGCCAGATCTCAACTCTGATTTTTTTTAGTGTGTGTGTTTTTGATTTACACTTTTTTTTAATTTATGAACTTTCACAGATTGAATACTGTTTGTTTTCTCCATATGTTTCATGAAGAATTTATTCGGACCTTGTTTAAAGGTTCATCTTATATTAAGTGTTTCATGATACAGATAATTTAAAAACAATCAAGCTTCAAAATTTGCTTTAAATATAAATACAGACAATATATACATTGAATGTAATAAAGAGAGAACATATTTATTGTACTCCTACATAGCTACGATACTGAATCAAGAATCATTATAACAAAGTATTTCCAATATTTTAGTCCTGAGAAAATGATAGAAGTTCGAAATTATTTTTATGTTTGCAACCCATATATTTTATATCCCGTTCAATACTTATAGTGATTGATTGATTGATTGACTGTATACTGTTTAACGTCTCATTCCAGAATATTTCACTGATATGGAGACGTCACCATTGCCGGTGAAGGGCTGCAAATTTAGGCCTATGCTCGGCACTTACGGCCTTTGAGCCTGGAGGGATCTTTATCGTGCCATACCTGCTGTGACACGGGGCCTCGGTTTATACGTTCTCATCCGAAGGACCGCCCCATTTAGTCACCTTTTACGACAAGCAAGGGATACTGAGGACCAATTCTAACCCGGATCCCAACAGGGCTACTTATAGTGTGATTAGTTTGCTGATAAAGTCTTTATAGAGAATCTTTTGCTTATATGGAGAAGCGACCACTTGTCAGTGGAACTGAAAAATTTTACTGAGTTTACTCGACATTCAAGATCATTGAACAGTGAGGGATTTTATTTTTCGTGCCAGCACCTACTACGACACGGAACCTTGAATAATTTATAGACTCGCCAGAAGGACCAGTTTCAATATCCAACAGTGGGATGACGTATAAGGATCATCTTTTCACTCTGCGACTCTAGAGTAGCATTTCTACCCCTGCATCATGCGGGCGATTTTGTTAAATTATTGACTTGATATTGAACGAATAAAAAAATATTGCATGAGTTCTGTTAAAATGCTTTGTTTAGCAATATATCTGATAATATTCATCAATATTAATTGCGTGAGTTCAGGACTAATGATTTTAAAAAAAAAGATTAAACATACAAAAGGCTTTCATGTAACATTACCGTCGTTTCCGGCACTGGTTGAATTTGCATGCATGATTATTGACCTCCAAATAAAACGTCCTCAATATTTACTCTGGTGTCTTTAAATGCGGCATGTGTAGGTAGATATTGCACTAAGTGCATTTATATTGACAAGCATGTATGATGCCAAATTTTTTACTAAGTTTATCTTTTTTCCCTTCAAAACTCATGTTCACACTTACTAGAAATGTTAACAATATATGTTGCTATGTTAAAGTATACATACCATATTCCATCTCTTACAAAGACACGGTTTTTAATGCGATTTTTATTCGTTATTTTAAGATGTGTCAACGAGTACCCGTTTACTCGGCTATCCGTCAAACGATTCGAGTATCGATTAGTAAAACTGCTTTTCAGTTACTTGGATAAAATATTTTTTACATAGTAAATACATAGAAAATGAATGTTATATTGTTTATAAATGTATGCTAACACATTTCCTTAATTTTAGGTACTGTTAGACATGATCTAGTGGTCTTAATGGATTGAATTGTTTTGATTAGTTTTCACAGTTTATTGCGATGACCGATATGAACCGTCAAATAAAAAGTAAAAATAAATTTATTATGCATGCAGAATTAATTTACTTTAATCAGTCTTACCAGTATCATCTTTTATCACCCCCCCCCCCTGTTGATTTTTCGACGAAATCTTGGCTTACAATTAATTGATGTCTGTCAAGTGAGGGAGGTGGAATACTTACAGGGTCGATGTCTTACGTAACTAAAACAAAGTGACGTCAAAATAGGCACAGTTAAGCGTGAATAATGCAGTGAAAAACATTTATAAACCACAGATACATGTAATACGTAAATTTTTCATCGGTGGTGTAAATTCGTTATAAAGTTATTTCACCTGAGCTGAAGGTTCCAGTGATCTTTTCTGATAAAAATGTGTCCATTGTCTGCTTTGTCGTCGTTGTAGTCGCTGTTGTTGTCGTCGTAAACTTTTCACATTTTCAACTTTTTCTCAAGAACCACCTGGCCAATTTCAAATAATCTTGCCAAAAAGTATTCTAATGTGAAAGGAAATCAAGTGTGTACATATGAAGGGCTACGCCCTGTTTCAGGAGGAGATAATTATGAGTCATTGAAAAATTAATGGCATCAGTTTAAATTCTTCTTCTCAAGAACCACTGGGCCAGGAAAGATGAAACTCATATGGAAGCATCCTTGGGTAGTGTAGATTCAAGTTTGTTAAAATCATGACCCCCAGGGGCAGGGCGGGGCTACAATGGCTGATCACAGTTTTACAAAGGAATACATTTAGGAATGATCTTTAAAAATATTCTTCTCCAGGAAAAATGGGTCAGTTTAGATGGAACTCATGTGGAAGCAGCCTGTGATAGAGTAGATTCAAGCTTATCCAAGTCATAACCCCCATGGGTAGGGCGGGGCAAAAATGGCTGATCAAATTTTTACAAAAATCTTCTTCTCAATAACTGCAAAGCTATAATTGGTGATATTTAAATGGGAGTAATCTCAGGTGGTGTAGATTCAAGCTGCTATAAAACATGACCCTCGGGGGGAGGGTGTCGCCACAATAGACGATCAAAGTTTAAAAAGAAAGAAAAAAAATCAGCTTCTCAAGAACAATGAAGCCATTATTTGTCATATATACGAGGGACAATCAGAAAATTCTGCAAGTATATCTATACAATAATGAAAACAATATGTATCAAAATGTACACTAGTTTAATCCTTCAAAATAACCGGCTTTTACATTTACACACTTTTGCAATCTGCATACCAGTGATTTGAAAGCCCCGAGATAGTCTTCCTTTGGAATACTGTCTAAGCACTGATAAATAGCACTACCAACTGCACTGCGCTAATTATAGCGACGTCCAGATAACATTTGTTTCTGTCTAGGAAATAGGAAAAAGTCACAGGGACTTAAATCAGTAGAATACGGAGGGTGTGGGAGCTGAACAACCTTTTCATCCTTCAAAAAACTGAGAATTATTTTACGCTTATGAGCTGGAGCATTGTCATGAGAAGCTTTATGTTCTTCAAGCCTGTCTTTGGTCTTTTCTTTTCATACACTTTCTTAATTTTTTTCAGAACATTATTTTTGTAAAACTGTCCCGAGATACCTCTACCTTGCGGAGTTGGAATTTGCACAACCGGGCCACCAGAATTAAAGAAAATAGCATATAAAATTTTCTTAGCACTTTGACACCTTTTTGCAATGACAGGACGCTCGCTATTCTTCCTTACCCACATCATATTGTTAATTTTTCTTTGCGGCTCAAAAAAGTAAATCCAAGTTTCATCACCTGTTAGTCAGTCAGCAAATTTTCTCATGTCACAGGTTTTATAGATTTTTAACAGTTTTCTTGCAAATTTCAAACGCGTTGTCATCTGTTCTGGTGTCAAGAGATGCGGTATCCATCGTGCGCATACCTTACGTAGGTAGAGGTGCTTGGTCAAAATTTCATGTACCTTTGCTGATGAGATACCAACAACACTAGCTATATATTTTAGAGCATATCTACCATCTTCCTCTACCATTTTCTTTACTACTGTCATGTTTCCATTAGTAACAGCTGTCTTTGGTCGCCCTGATCTTGAAGAATCTTTAACCAAGTCTACACCATTCTTAAACTTTTTCAACCAACGATAAACTGTGCTAAACTAAATTAAAAAAACTCCATAAATCTGACAAATTTCATTCAAAATTATTTTTGCAGGTATATCAAGAATGCCTCTCACTTTTATATAGGTTCTTATTTAAGCCTTCACTTTAGAATTCATATCATTGGGAGAAAATGGTCAGTATGTACGACTACACCTTCTTCTTTTGTATGTTTAAAATTACTTTTGAAAAGGTGAATAACACGATAAGAAAATTTGGACAGACACATGTCTTGCATTATTTTCTGATCGCTCTTCTTACATGGGAGCATCTGCAGGTGGTGTAGATTCAAGTTTGTACAAATCATGACTCCTTGGGATAGGATGGGGCAACAATGAAAGATCAAAGTTAAACATAGGAATATATAGGAAATAATCTTCTCAAAAACCGCAAAGCCATGGTTTCTTATATTTATTCGGAAGCATCCTCTGATAGCGTACAAATGTCATGTGTCAAATTGAAATTATACCCCCTCCCCATTTAACCATTCTGTCTTTTATTATGGGTAGCTTTGAACCACTCATGCATTTAAGCTTTTTAACAATAAACTTATTTTTGCTTTTTT